CTCTAAGTGTATAAATCGAGAGTAACTCTTCATTTGCCTTCACATCTAGCCCTATTCTCTCCACACTATCACAATGGTGAACCCTAATGTGCAGTCGCAGTCTCTTGTTCTGTTCAAAAACCAGAGTTTTCGCAATGCTGCGACCTACTCTAGGTACCTCAGAAACTTTCGAAATCGCCCTATTTACCCATCCTTCTCGATTCATCCTTCCACCTTTACCAAGTATGGGATGAACATCCCTGCCTATCTCCATCGACTAGGCTGGGAATCCCTGGTTGAAAATCTGCGTTTCAGTCAATGCCTTGAGGCAGTGCGCCTATTCTATGCCAATCTTAGGTGCGGACCTGGGAGTGATCCAACCTTCTTCACCACTCTGGTCTATGACTATGAGATCAAGGTCACTCCTGCTATTCTGGCGTAAGTCCTTCATCTTCCTCACTCTGGCTCCCAGGCTGGTACAGATAGGGAGTTCTTCAACTTTGGCTTCCGATTTGACGAATTTCTTCGCTTGCTGGCTCACGATATTGGGCGCTGGTTTCCGTCACAACTTGCAGCTGGTAGGTTGCCTGACGATCTCAAGGTCCTGTTCTTCTATCTCTCTCGTTGGTTTCTGCCAAGGGAGTTGACCAGTACTGATCTCCTTCATTCTGCTGATCTCTGGGTCCTCTCCAATGCGCGTGCTGGTCATCACATTAGCTATGTTTCACTCATGTTTCATCACATGATCAAGTTTGGCTTAGGATATTTTGGTGGACCACTGCCTTTTGGTCCTCAAATTACCCAGCTTCTGCATCGCCTAGGCATCGATTTACGTGACAAGGTTATCATCTGTGATGTCTTGGATGAACTTCATCCCCAACATGTGCTCGAACGTCTCGATGCTATGGTTGGACCCCGTAAGCCAGTCACTGGCTCAGGGGGAATGAGCAGCAACCAGCTCAGTCAGTATCAACTGACTGCTTCCTCATCTTTTGCCAATGCAGCTGCTGCTGCGTTTAAAAAGGATGCTACTGCTCGCTGTGGCCCAAAGAGGAGGCTATTACTTGAACAAGACCTGATGCTGCCAAAGTTTGTGTATGAGACAAATCAAATCAGTGATCCGATAAGTCCAGACACAAACTCTGATGACGAGGACAGGGTGTCACGTTATGTTTCCCCTCCGAAACACCCCTTTTAAAGGAATAGCAATTGATTGAGAGTTCTATCTATGTTTTCGTCTAGGATTGAAATAAAGATGCAGTTGTATTCGTGAGTTGGTAGTAACTGTGATCGTTGTGTTTGTCTTTTGTGATGTTTGAATAAAGGAAGTGCATCTGTTGTGTCGACTGGTTTTATGAATAAAATGGCTTTTGCAACAACAGCTTTTTGGACAGGCTACATGATAGACCGATAATTACACATGTTTTCACCCCTTTTCTGAAGCCGTTTGAGATGTGGATTCTAGTGTTTTAAGCCGATTTCACGCTAGTGTGTGTGTTTATGTCATATTTCAGGTCCCGGCGTTGGAATCGAGGCGGAGAAACGAGTTCTGGGTCGAACGGAGCGAAGTTGGGACGAAGGAGGCTGATGGATGAAAATACCCGGCCATGACCAAGAATACCCGGCCGGGTATTATTCCTTTGGGCGCCCCGTGAGAAACAGAAGGGGGCCCGGGCAAATGGCTAAAATCCCCGGTCGGGGATTATAGAGTCAGACCGGGGATTTTCCCCTGGATGAAACGGCGCGTTCCATTTATACCCGGTCGAGACTCAAAATACCCGACCGGGTATTTCGACAGGGTATCGCGATCTGCCAGCTGATTTAAGGAAAAGGAAGGCCAACTTTCAAGGGTTCCGAGTTTTTGAGAGAGAAAGCGATTCCTAGAGAGAGAAAGCGACGAACCAGAGTTCCCAAGTGCCATAGCTTGATCTTCATCACCATTGGAGCCCGGCTTGAGCTTGGAGAAGTGCCGATTAAACGTCCAGGAGCAGAAATCCATCTTCACAGTATGATTTCCGCGTCTGAATCTGCTTTTGCTTCTTTCTCTATGGAGTAGTTCCCCCATTCATCTGGGTATGGGGAACCCTAGATTTGTATGCTAGGTCTGATTGTATGAACCCAAGTACAGAGTTTGTGAATTGATTATATTCGATTGAGGTTTGAATGATTGAATGACTTGAATCCTGATCAAATTCCTGTTGTTTCTGCTTTGACCTAGAATGAGAATATCTGCCTAGGTTGATAGAGTATCCTTAATCGAAGGTGGCGAATTGGTGACTTTAGTCGAGGAGCCAATTCGCTATTCTGTACCGAGGTTTGGTTCGTTAGAGCATCAATCTGTTTACTCCGGTGGAGGTTAGTCGCCCGCAAGAGACTCAGATTGAGAGGGTCTGGAGACCTTTAGTCGAGACTTCAGGCTATTTAAGAACCTTCCGCAGTATAACTTTCATAAAAACTGAACTTGGTAAATTGCAATCCGGCTTAACTGCAGTCTAGGGGGAACCATATCCGGGTGACCTCTCTTGACTTGAACAACCGTTAAACTTGCTTTGTGTTTTTGTTTGTTTGAATCTGCACTAAAAGTTCACTGCTAGATAACGAGAATTCACCGAGTAGTCATCACATCTAGGACCCGGGTTGACAATAAAACCCAATCCGCTATACTACGCTTTAGGAAGTGGTTGCACTTGGCCATTTTCTAGAGTGACAGTAGGAGTGAGTCACTACACCAACTGTTTGCTGAGTGTGTGCAGGTTGCTGAGTTGAGCCATTGACAAGCTTAGGGGGAGATTGTTGAAGGGAAGCTTGTCAATTAGTGACGCTTGCGGGAAATGGCCAAAGAAGGAAACTCTGTCTCGGCAAGCAATTTAGGAAAGGTCTCTCAATCAAGCAAGATTGATTTGCCAATCAATCAAGATCAGATCGATTCCTCAAGATTGGGATGAGCTAACGGCTAGGAAGATGGGTATAAGGATAGAAGAATTGAGAAACGGTGGCTTCACCTTTTTCACTTAGCAGTTCAAAAACAGAGTCAGGGAGATAGTCTGTGTTTTGAAAGAAAAAGGAGAAGGCTATCGGGGAGAGAGCTAGTAAAGAGAGTTGATTATTAGGTTGAGGCATCGTCAGGGAGCTAGTGTCTCGAGTGTGATTCTGATCAGGTGACAGGGAGTCACTGAGAGATTAATGTTGTATTTCTGTAACTGAAACACAAGATCTTAGTGCAACGTCGAAGGTCTCGGATCAGAGGTCCTTCGACCGTGGATTAGTCGGTGTTGGGTTCATCATTTGCCTAACACCGGATACCACATAAAAATATCGTGTCTGGGTTTATGTGCTTATTTCTGTGCTTTTCATTTTCAGTTCTCATTTGTGTTCTTGATCTTGTGTGAGTGTGAATTTTGAAGAAGACAGGTTGTTGATCGATTGGGTTAAGGCAAAGGGGAAGTTACTCAGTCTTCAAAACGCAGGGCTTCATCTGAGCGTTTTGGGCCGAATAAACTTTGACAGCCTGATATCAGAACGAGCCCAACGCGTGTCAAAACCAAGTGACTAAAACGCTGTCGGTTTAACAAACTCAAACAGAGAAGTTTCTTTCCCTTCTCGTCGATTTCAATTTTCACTCACTTCACCTTCCTTCACTTGGTTTTTGTCAAAGTCGAAATTAGGGTTTTCAGAGCTCAATCTAATTGAAGAAAAGGGAGGACAATAGCCTGAGTCTCACGCTCGACTCGCACCAACAATATCGTCATATTCTTCATCACCACCAAATTCCATAACACAGCTTGGCAAGAACTAGTACCACCAAATTAAGTAATGGGATTTGCTAGCTAGACGTGACCAATTGATATCCACTTTATCCAGTACTGTGCGGATTTCTGAAGTGGCAAGTGACACCCAGCCAGAGAGGGAGAGAGAGAGCTTTGCTCTGTTTTGGATGGGAAACAGGGGAAGCAGAGTGGTTGAGGAAATGAAAGAAAGAATATTTTAGCCACATAGACTGAAACACCTTTAATCATAAACAATGGTGTATAGTTAGTTAGGGTTTTTGTACGACATCTTAGCTCATGCAAAAATGCTCCCCTTGAGCTTCCATCATTTGCCGCAAAAGAATCCTCCGATCCCCATCTTTCCCCAAGATCCACGTAACTTCTTGTTATCAACACCATCATCATCATATACCATTGTTCTTTCCTTCAACCTTCTCGGTGTCGTTAAGATCTCGATTAACATTGTCAAGCTAAATGCGTCATGTTCGTCATCTAAGTTGGTCATTCGTGTCATGTTTGTCGATAAATCTTTATGAACAACGAAAAAAGTTACACTGATTAAAACGATCTCTCGTGAAAAAGAAAGAACTTATTAGCCGTGAAGAATGATGAGAGGTTATGGAATAGTTGTTTGTGCTCTTGCATACTCTTATGACATTCTATTCAGCAGTCAGCTGACATTCTATATCCATGAAAATAGACCAGCTCCATCCCCATCAAGAGCAAAAGAAAACAGCTGTATGTTCAAGAATGAAGAATTGTGACAGATTTCTTGCTCATGCCATCCCAAAATCAATTTTGATTTACTTTTTGTATGATGGGGAGCGTTTCTTCATCAATATATCATTTAGAGTAACAAGAGAAATGATGCAACTAAATGAAGATGTTTGCATGTGTTTAATATGTATGTTATATGTATGTATGTATGTATATACATCTATCTCTCTCATGCAAGCTCTGCAGTTCACCTACCAAGTTAACTGACAAACAAACCCCAAAACAAAAAGAGAAAATTAAAATTCCCTCCACATATAAAGTAAGCACTGCATCAACAAAGACTCTCAGTTCTGCAAATTTTCACTTGCAGCTTTGCCTTCTACAACAGTACTCAAAGAAAGACACAACAGAACATCTTTTGTTTAACCCTTTTCTTTTTCTTGGCTTTCTTGGGGGAGGTTTGGTTGGCCTTTTCTTCTTCACTTTTTGCTGAGGTGGGTTGTTTCATTTGGTGCAGTTAGCTATTGCTATCACCCTCTTGAGTTCATGTGGGATTGTTTGCTTTTGGCCCCCCACTTCTAGCTTATTCCCTTCCCACCATCATTCCAGTTTTGGGTCATTGGTCTTCAGTTTTGCTGAGTTGAATGAGGCAGAGTTTGTACTTTTTGTGATGTGAAATTTGTCCACTTTTGGCTTTATAACTACTCCAGGGATCCTGACTCAAAAACTAACTTGTAGACTGAATCCCTCATTTTGTTTGTTTGTTTGTGAAGGAGAGAGACAGACAGAGAAGAAGCAAAGCAAGCAAAGAAGAATCATGAACATGGTCCAAAACCTTATGGACAGACTGAGACCCTTAGTGGGTTTTAAAGGCTGGGATTTCTGTGTTCTCTGGAAGTTGAGTGATGACCAAAGGTTGATGCTTTAATGTCTCTCTCACCCATCTGTCTCACTTCTTTTCTTCATTCTGATAAGAAAAAAAGAACTGAAATTTAATTCTCTTTTTGTGATTGTTAAGGTATCTAGAATGGATGGACTGCTGTTGTGGTGGGACTGATCAAAGTGGTGGGGAAGAGCTTCAATTCTCTGCTCTTTCTGCAACCCTTCCTTGTAGGGATGGCATCTTCCACCATCCAAGAACCAGTCCTTGTGAACTCCTTTCCCAGCTTCCTACTGCATTGTCCCTCGACGAATCCGGGTAAAATCTCTTATCCATAAAAGATTCATTCAATCATCTTGACTAGGGCTGCTGCTGATAAAAGTTATCATGAATCAAAACAGGATTCATGCAGAGGCTTTGATCTCTAATATGGCAAGGTGGTTGAACTTCTCCAACTCTTCAGGGTCAACCCTTCTTGAGGTTAGCTTAATTTCTCTCTTCAGTTCTCCTTCTCCAGCTACATTTCCCCTGAGATGGTTACTTTATGGTTCTAACTGTAACTTCTACAGAATTTGAATCAATATGCACAGGAAACTGTTGGAACTAGAGCTTTGATTCCTGTACCAGGTGCCCTCATAGAGCTATTTGTTGCTAAACAAGTTAGTACAGATGCTTTCTCTCTTTCTTCTGTAACATTAATTTTAACCACTCCTTTTCACTAAGTAAACAGTTAATATAGCTCTTTCTTGGGTCTCAAGGAAAGGAAGTGAATAGTTTGATGTTGCATTTCCAGGTTCCTGAAGACCAGGAAGTAATAGACATTGTAACCTCACAATACAGCATTCTGATGAGTCATCAGGAAGCAATGGAATCAGCAAATTTCATGATGAACACTGAAGAAAATCATGAGCACCAGAAAGATCATGACCATCACCAAATCATCGATATGAACCAATTTCAGCCGCCACCCATTTCTCCAGCAACAGCATTGGAGACATTAAACCTGTCATCATCCTACGACTTCTCAGCATCAGTCGATAGAATCGGTGGCCTATGTAGTAGTAGCTCTCCCATGAACTTGCTGCAGCACTTCAGCTACACCAATGACGATGAGAACAGAACAGCCAAGAGCAATGGTGGGATGTTCTTTGAAGGTGAAGATCAGAATGGTGGTGGCATTAACCCCAAGGACAACAACAACACTACCGTCCATCACAATCATCAGGAAGAAGGCGAGTTTGGAGATTCATTACTAGCAGGAAAGGAGCAACAAGGGAACAACAACAACAATGACAAGGACTCAATCAAGCAAGAGATGAATGGGAGGTCTGATTCGGTCTCGGATTGCAGTGATCAGAATGGTGAAGATGACCAGCAGCAGCAGTTTGGTGGGAGCAAGTTCAGGAGGAAGAATGGGAGGCCTGAAGCCAAGAACCTTCAAGCTGAGAGAAGGAGAAGGAAGAGGCTTAATGGCAGGCTCTATGATCTTAGAGCCTTGGTTCCAATGATCTCCGACGTAAATCAACAATCTTCACTCTTCCATCATTTTCTAAATCCTCTGCCCTTTAATCAAACTGTGTAATTAACCCACCAATGTGGTTGCCTACAATGCAGCTGAAGAAGGCATCTATAATTGGAGATGCGATTGAGTTCGTGAAGGAGTTGAAGAGGCAAGCCAAGGAGCTTGAAGAAGAACTTGAAGCTAACTCAGATGATGAAGAGCTGTCAAGAAGAAACAACAGCTGCCACAACAACGTTAACAACAACAACATCAACAACAACAACATCGGCAGCAGTTTTGGAGCTCAAGTTGTATTGAACGAGACCGGAGATGGTGTTATTCCAAGCTCGGTGAATGTAGTAGGGAATCAGGATTGGGAAACAAGCAACTGCAATGAGAAAGGACAGCAGCAGCAGCAGCAAATGGAAGTGCAAGTGGAAGTTGCACAAATAGATGGGAATGGGTTCTTTGTGAAGGTGTTCTGTGAGCACAGGCCAGGTGGGTTTGTGAGGTTGCTAGAGGCATTGGACTCTCTTGGGCTAGAAGTCACCAATGCCAATGTGACCAGCTGCAAATCCCTTGTCTCCAATGTCTTCAGGGTTCAGGTAAAAACTGCAATAAGCTGCATAAACATCATGCAGAATGATCGAAAAAAGGCTAAATCTTTTGATTTGTTGTGTGTGGACAGAAGAAGGACAGTGAGATGGTTCAAGCAGACTACGTGAGGGATTCTTTGCTGGAGCTCACAAGGGATCCACCATCAAGAACATGGAGTGAAGTTCATCATCACCAGGTGAAAGCTGGGGATTCTTCTGAGAATGGCAATGGCATGATGATGATGATGATGGACCATGATCACCTTATTCATGACCACCATCACAACCAAGGACTGGTACTGCAGAATGGCGGCGGTCATCTGATGAACTCCAACCAGCATTACCTCCACCAGCTCCACGGTTGAGTAGAAATGGCTCTGATCAAGGGTTTGCTGGTTTTAGTTAGTTAACCAGATGATTGGTGACCAAAACCCTAGTGTAATGGATAGTTCATAGATAGACTGGAATGTGGCTAGTACTGGTGACTTTGTTGAGTTTTGGAACTAACTACTTTAGGGTTTAGGTTTACCCTTTTTTTTTCTTCATGAAGTAATTAATTGCTTCCTAGACAATGTTGTACCCTGCTTATTTGGCGCAATCAGCCATTGATATAAGGATCAATATTTAAGCCGTGGAAGATTGGATCAATGCATACCAGAACTATGGGTGGTTTAGAGGATTGATCATGCGTTTTGGGTTTCCCTATTATTTCTGGTTGTTAACGGGGCGGTATGGACTCCTAACTACCAATAGATTACATGGCTCCTAAGGAACAATCTAATTTTCATTATATATAAAAAAAAAATTAACTGACAAGACGAGTTTTGGGCTGAAATTTACAAATTATGTTAAGAACTATGAAATTAAACTTATTTAGTTTGAAACCGTGCAAAGATGAGTGATTTTTCGAGAAATTTATTATGGTACGCCCAAAACGGACAATATCTTGATTATCGATCAGATTATAATACAATGGGCGGTAAAGATAACTTTATGATCTTCAAGGTAATAATATGGTTTAATTCACCTGCGTAGCCATAACTTTCACGATTTTGACAAATATAGCCACTTTTTGAAAAATACACAGATATAGCCATTCCGTCTATAAATTTAACGGAATAGTAATAAATGCTGACTGTACTAACGATTTTTGCTGACATGGTGATTGTTCATAAAAAAACTATGCCTAGATGTAAATTATTATTTTTTAATTAATTGAAAATTTCTAAAAACTACTATTCCCTTCCAGCGCTTATGCTTTTCCTCTTCCTCTTCCTCTTCCTCTTCCTCTTCCTCGCAACTCTCAACCTCCCACCTCTATTCTGCCGTGTCTTCAAGCTCTCCTCCCTCAATTGATTCAAGAAACCAAATCGCCTTGAAAAAACCCAAATCGTTTGAATTCTTCAGCCGCATCCACCAGCTCCGTCGCCGACCAGAAGCAAGCGAGCCAGAGGACGCGACGCAGGCGGACTGCGTTCCGTGACGACAAGGATCGAGACGACGACGGCTGGGGTGCTTCAATCCGGCCAAGATTACAAGAAAGAGAAACCCATTTAACAGGGAGAGAGAGGTTTGTCGCGCCGGCGGTGGGAGGGAGGAGTGAAGGAGGGAATGCATTGAGCTTGGAGGGTTTGAGTTTTTGGATTTTGGGTTGCGGTGAAGCTTGGTGGGTTCTAGGTTTCTGGGTTCCACAACATCCCCACACCAGCATCGATTTTTTGTTCGTTGAGATTCCAATGTCGCTGGTTCTGGGTTTTATGGGGAAACTGGGTTCTTTATTATAGTGGCAGGCTGGCAGGAAGGAGTGGCGACTTGCAGTGAGGGGGAGCTCCAGATCTGCACTTCGGGTCGGCGACGGAGCTGTGGGTGCGGAGGGAGGGGTGGCTGCTTCGACGATCCAGAGCGAGCAGGGTTGTTCTCATTCATGGCCGGGATTCGACAGCATCATTAGCGGAGGAGCCTAGGAAATTTCAATCCTGCCGCTACTAGTGTGAAATAGCCCAGGATAATTGATGGAGAAAGAGAGAGGGTTTGAAGGGAGGAATCATGAATTTGGATCTGGTGAAGAAGGGGAGGGGAATTTGGGAAGACAAGCAGCGTAGTGGGAAGGGATGAATGAATAGAGAGAGAAAATAAAAATAAAATAATTTATTTCTTATAAAATGTTTTATTTTAATTTTTTTAGTAAAATTAGTTATTTTTTTGTTTAAAAATCTACTTTTAATATGACGTGGCGTATGACATGGCGTCTAGGTGGCATGAATATGTCTAGTTGGTGATGATGTGTCATGCAAGTGGCATCCACCTCAGCAACACGTAGATGTTATTAACGGCGTCTATGACGATGTTATAATTTTTAACGGAAATGGCTAAAGTTGACAATCAAGTTTCACAAAAGTGGCTATATCTGTGTATTTTTCAAAAAGTGGCTATATTTGTCAAAATCGTGAAAGTTATGGCTATGCAAGTGAATTAAACCTAATAATATTAATAACATTAATAAATAGTATCCAATAAAAAAATCTGAATAGTAAGAAATATTAAAAACCCATTGCAGAAAATTAACCTCTCCCACAATCAGAACATTGTCAACATAAACAAATTTAACAAATCCAGAGTAAATGATCATCACTTCCAAATGCAAGCAGAAACAAGAACCAAGTACACAAACAAGCTACAACATCTTCCAAATGCATAGCTACGATTGCTCCAGCCACAGGAACTATCACCACTGTTTCCTCCGCCGCCGCCTGATACAGCTACTGGCTCACCGGCGGCGCCGCCGCTACTGCCGGTGCCGGCAGTTGACGGTTGTCGCTCTGCCACATCAACCGCCAATCTCATCCCACCAAGGCAATGCCCATCAATTTCGCAGATAAACCAGTGCTTCTTCGCTTCCTTGAGCTCAATTTGCTCGTTTCCGGTCTGGTACTTGGCCAGCACGCCGTCGCTCGCGTTGCACGATTGGTACACTTCCTTCGTGACCTCGTACACATTGTGCTCTGTTCTTGTGTACTTGAACTCTGCCATCATCACAACAATTCCATGTTTACCAAGCAATTCGATGACGTGGGTTACAATTAATGATCGACAAAACATTAAGAACAGAGCGATGATGATCGTGGGTTGTAATTGAATTAAGGTACCGAGAATGTCGCCGACGGTGAAGTTGTGCTTGTCGGTCCAGGCGCCGTAGTTGACCTGCATCGTCCATCCGTTCTCGTCTCCGACGGTGAAGATCTCAGCAGCTGTTGTGACGATGATAGCGTTGAGGAGGAAGAAGAAGAAGGAAAGGGTGAGCAAGAAGCAGGCCGTCATGTTCGCCGGCCGGAGATTGACAGCAGGAAAACGAAGAAGACGAAGGAGGAGGATAAATTAATTCACTAATGAGATTGACTGTGCGTGTTGGCTAGAAATATATACACGCAACAACATTAAGAGCCGGAATTGGTCACTAAATGGACGATAGCTAGATGGGTTAAACGAAAGATGACGATGAACAGAAGGACGACGAGGCGGAGAGGACCGAGTCAGTCCTTCCATGGACAGCGGAAGGCTGGGGACGGCTTTTTTGAGTTCAAATGGTATTTGTTAGTTGTTACCAATGTCGATGCCCCCAAAGAAAATATATACCTTTTGTTACATCCAAAATATTTTGCATGTGGCTATAATGTAGGTATTTAGATGTTAAAAAAAAAATTGACAAGTGGAGGATGAGATATGTAACGTCTCGAATGTGATGCAGCGCAGTGGTTATCCGTCAGCACAACTTTGTTGTGGTGTGATGGAGGATGCCATTGGAGGCCCCGGTCTCATTTGAGACTGTCGTCTTATTCTCGAGTCTCTTTCTCGTTGTATAGATGTTAGGGCGATTCTGTAGACTGTCTATTGGACTGCTCATACAGTGACACGTAAATTCCTGTAGATGTTTAGGTTATAATTAGTTTTTTTATTTTTTATTTTTGAGTTCAATTGAAAGTTAAAGTTTTATTACATAATACCATATAGGATTGGCAAATTGGCATTTTTGTCCATATATTTCAAGTTTGTTTGGGCCGTTAGAATCAAACTTATTGATGAAAAAAATAATTAAAAGCAATTTAGGCGCAGTTGTAAAGGCCAAAGGGACAAGGCTATAATCATTTAGGTTGAGGCGTTAAGCAAAAGTTCATCTATAGTACTATGGAGACTCTACCAAAAAGAAAGTCTATACTTAATTAGTACTTTTTTGTGTTTAATTTTGTATTTGAAAATTTTGGAGATAAATATATAATGGAAGGACCTCTTGGCTTAAATGCCCAATTGGTCACCAAAATTTTAGCCATTTTCTTGTATGGTCCCAAGTCCCAACACCACCTCTCATTGGGCCCGCTGGGTGTTGTTTCTTGTAACGGTCGGCTGCAGATCTAGGCTTCGTACAAATGGGCCGGCGTTTGATGGATTTGGACTATTACAGAGGCCCTAAAGGCTTGTTTGGCTTGTTTGAGCACTCACTCTGAGTCTCTGACTCACATAAAAATAACAATATAGCATAATATAGCTCCCATAATTTCAATGCAGATAACAATACAAATAGTAGCTCAACTTCACAAATGGTACGTACTACGTAGTCGTCCAGCTATTTCTCCACTATTCCTCTAACCCAATGAAGAAAATCCAGAAGGGAAATACAAATAATCTCGTATTGAATTACGTAGTAATACATATATATATCGATACCAAGACGATTCGAGTTCACTTGCACGGAGACATCCTGCAGGCAGCTCCACCGGCTCCAGAGTTGGCCCTAATGAACCTCAGCGCCGTGAGCAGCACGGCCCTCTCCGAGCCCATCAGCGCGAAGTTCGTCCGAGTCACGACGTTCACGGCGTCGTATCGGAACTGGAGGCTGTTGTACGAGTTGAGCAGCGACGTCGTGGCTTCCCGCAGCAGCGTCCTGTATGGGTCGCCTCTCCCAAGCAGGGCCTGGCCCAGCGTCAAGTCGTTCCCGTACTTCTGGGCCGCCAGAAGCCCAAAGGCCACGGCCACTTTTGTGTCTGGGCTCACTATTCTCCAGTAGCACTTGTACTCCGGCGCCATCCATGTCCTGCGAAAAGCCCAATCGGCGAAAAGGGGAAACACCAATTCAGATTGAAGAAAGTCGGCGACTTGAATTTGCGCTGGTTTTGACTTACTGGTGAGAACAAGCTGAAGCTTCGACGAACGGCATCGGTGGCAGAGGAGGCACTGGGGGAAGCCTTAAAGCAGGAGGCGGCGAAGATGGGACCGGCGGCGAAGGCGACGGCGATGACGGCGGGGGTCTGGCCGGTTGTGCAGGATTGGCTGAAGGAGGGGAATTAGGGCAGAACGACATCGGCTGAGCAGGCTGAGAAAGCAACGAATCGACGTTGTACATCTCCATCCCGAACATGCTGAACATCAGCCGGAGTTTCTTCGGCGGCCCAGCTGCCGCTACGCAAGTTGAATTTGTACCGCCGCCGCCGCCTTCGAGCAATTGGGCATAGCAGTTGCTGAAATCCGGGGTTCCGTCGAATCTCATGGTGTAACCTCCGAAGTAGTTCGTGGTCTCTTCCCTCGACGTCGCCGTTTCACCGTTCCCGTCCCCGCACGCCATTCTGACCTTCACGCCTGCAAAAAAACGCCACAGGTCAAGAAAGCAAAGAGTGGGTTAGTGATGGCATTTAAAGGGATAAGATTTGCTTTAGCCCTACAAGCTTAATTAGAAGGGTATCAATCATGGGTTTATTAATGTGGTAATGGCCCCAAAAGCAGAGCATCTCCCTATTGAGGGAAAATTCATGAAACTTGTAAGCGGAAAACAGAATGATCACAACAATGCTGGTTACATTACCACTCATGGGGTAGTCGAAGAGAGAGATTTGGCCATCTTTGCACTGGTCGCAGAAGACGGTGCCCATCACTGTTGCATCTGCTCCAGCTCCATCAATGGCTGCTGAAATCAGGAAGAGAAGGAGAACAACTGAGAAACCCAGCTGCTTCTTGTGTGGCCAATCCATGGTGTTATTATGTGTGAGATGAGGGCAGAATACAAAGCAGCTGGAAGAGTAGAAATAGTAATGGTAAGAGAAAAGATTGATGGGTTGGCTTCTTCTCTGTCTCTGCTCTGTTTTTTCGTCTTTTTAACCCCCAACTGCCCTGTATTTATGAGGAGTTTGAAAAAAAATGCCTGTGAGATGCGGAAGTGAACCCAAATTAAATGAGACAGGAAGTTGGTGATGAGACGGTACGGAGAATTAATTGAGTGGTAGAAGTGGGAGGGAAGAGGAGCAAGCATGGCTTCTTGTACTGGTACTGACAGGGTTGTTGTTCCTTTCTGAAACTGAGAACAGAGTTTCTCCCCACCTTCATTTAATTGCCCTGAACCCGAACGTTACGTTAACTGCCGGCCATCATAATTCCATCGGAGACCTTCGTTTGGGAACTCTAACCATCCCTGAAGATTCGGTGTTCACATCCAAATTTGACAATGGGAAACAGGGGAATTTGGCAATTGGCGGTGGGTTAATGGGTGCAAGCGCCGCTAAGTTAGATGGGGAAGAGAAGGGATGGGACGAGAGGAGCAAAGCATTGATTGATGAACGAAGAAGAGAATGAAATGGACAAGTGTCAATCGCCATCTCCCCCATCCATTCATGTGCCTTGCCAATTGCCATTGCTAAAAGCAAATTCAAAAGGGGAACGGATTACAGGTAGCTGCGGCTTGTGTGTGCGTGACCTCGGACCTCGCCATGGCTGTAGCTTGCATGCTTTGTTTGTTCACGTTCATCACAGGCCTCCCGTGCCACTGCCAACTGGTACAAACATGTCTCATTCTCCCCTGTATTAGCTGTGTGCCAGTTATTCTGATCTGTAAGAAATCTTTTTTAGTGTTTGACAAAGAACTTCTGATTATCAAGTTAGATGTAAGAGTCCTGAAGATCAAGTTCTATAAAAATTGTAGAAGGTAAAATGAAGGTGATGAAGTTGAACACGGTCACCATCCTGGCCAATCAATCAATTCAGGCATAAAAACTGTGGAGTTACATAATAAGGATTAAGGAGAGCTGCAAACATTCATAACAACTAACCCACCAAACACAGAAGAATCAGTGACAGTGTTCAGTTTGAGTATCAAAACAAACAAACGCAGAGGTCTCTCTATGACAGAGTACCAGGACAAGAAGTAGACTATAACAAAACTTAATACAAGAAAGTTATCAAACAAAACACAGGGTCTGCTAATAAATAATAGTGTTCTCTCTCTCTACTTCTCTCTTTCTTCTCCCAAAAATCATATCAATCCATCGGCAAAACTTCAGTGGTCTCTGTTCAGTTCTCCTCGGCAGTGCCATTCTCGTCCTGCTTACCATTCTCGTGCTCGATAGCATCTGAATGTCCATTCTCAACTCCATTCTCGACTGTCTCGGCACTGCAGACCACAAGTACAGAAGCACAAGTCAGAATGATGAAGTACAGCCGCAAAGGAATAGTGTCATAGGGTAAGCCAATGTTATCTGAAATTTGGTGAGAATCTATGATTGATTTAAGTTGAGGATGTCCTAGTGGATAAGACTTGAGAGAAGATTATCCAAAACCCTCAGAAGAGACCAATACAAGCTCATTGAGCAATGGAGACACTAGCTTCAAGCAATGGCGAGGGTACTTTCACTGGACAAACAGATCAATAATATTGAGATTATCCTGGATATAGAAAAACTGCAGAGCACTTGACAAACCAAACTCGTACAATGCAATGCCTTGGATTGGACATGTAATAAAATATAACTAGTTGGCCACCTAAACCCAACAACATTTCACTAGAGTGTACACCACCAACTTCAACAACAAATGCAATGAGCAGTCTTAGCTTGCCAAGCCACAGTCGTACAGTTACCCAAGTTAGCTTTCATATGCGAGCCTATCAAGACAAGACTAAGAAACCAGTTACAAGAAAATTTCATGATTGAAACAGGAAGAACAGCCAATATGGCAACGACAACTGAAAAAATATCAATGAATGTCGAGAAAGGGCATGTTTAAGAGCGCAAGGTATGAACTCCTGAGGTGCCCAACCCAAAAATCAAGCCATTCTCTTTGACAGACTAAAAAATTCATCAGGCTACAAGAGATCAAGACAAGTTTCACAAGCATATATAGCACATATGATTCAGGTGCAAACAAATATACACAGTCCATCTCATGAAATGCACATGAAACCATAAAGAATCAAACTTTGATGCAAACCATAACCATGAAAGAATTCTCAAGAAGCAAACCTTTGAGGCCGAGAACTGGAATCAACTGAATCGGGCTTCCTCCAGCTCCTCTCCACAGTTTCACCAGAGCCTACACGACCAAAGCTCCACCTTGAAGTCTTGTCCCCTCTTTCCACCTTATCCTCTTCATTCTTACTGTTGAGCTTCATGCTCTCCAACTTCTCATCAATCTCCTTCCAATCCTTCCCCTTCTCGGCCAAAACCTCCTCTCTCGGCCTAGCACTCCCAAACGGATTCGAACTCCTTGGCTTCACCACCACCAATTCATTCTCATCACTCACAGCGACAGCCCGTGGCTGCTGCAAAACCTCATCTCTCGGCTTAGCATCCCCAAATGGACTCGACCCCTTGGGTTTGGCCACAGAATCATCACCATTACTCGCAGGCACAGACCTCGGCTGCAACACCAGCTTCGGCCGAGCAGTCATGGCCCCAGTTCCATCCCCCTCTTCCCTCTTCCTCCCCCAGGTCTCAGAATCCGCAGACCCACCACCGTTCATGGAACCTTGCCTATCGCGTGACAGAGAATCGAAACTACCTCTCCGCTCAACAAATCCGCCGCCAAATTTCCTCGGCTCAACCGCGGGCTTATTGGACACCCAGCTACTAGCCTCGTCGGCTTTCGATTGCGAGTCGAAGAACGACGAGCCCCTATCCCTATCCCTCCTGTCGAACCCATTATCCCTATCCCTCCTGTCGAACCCATTTCCGTTCATCACCGCGGGCGATTTCTTCGCCTTCGACCAATCATCGTCCTCATCGGCGCGGGACGGACCTAAGGGTTCCCTTTCCCTGCTCGAATCCCTATCCCTAGGGCCAGAAGAATTAGAATCCCTACCCCATCGCGAATTAGACGAATCGTCGCCGTTCCGGTAGCTGTTCATACCGTAGGATCTGAATCCGCCGCCTCGAATCTGGTCGAGCTCCTCCGCCGAGCGCTCGCGGGGGCCCTTGGGGAGGGCCGCGGTGGTCAATTCGGGCTGGGTGTATTTAGCTGCTTGGTACATGGCCAGGGGAATGGCCGTCGCCTTCTTCTTCTTCTTCTTGGACTGCTTGAGATCGGCAGCGGCGGCGGCGAGGGACGGGAAATCGGCCGTGGGTTCTTTAACCGTCGCCTGTTGCTGTTGTTGCTCCTCCTGCTGCTCGAGCTCGGCCTCGTGTTCCTCGGCGTCCAGAGCCCACGCGCCGGGCTTGGCCCAGGGAGATGAAACGGTCGCCGCCATGGTTGGTTGTGGAGCTGCCTCCTTTCTTCCTCTTCTTCTTCTTCGCTGTTTGGTTGCGTCTCTGTGTCTGCTGTTTTCTCGCGTTTGCGTTACTTCTCAGCAGGGCGGAATGAAAACGGGTGGGTTATATAAAACGGGTAGGGATGTTGATTCCATCCGACGGTGGAGAACGCGTTTCCGAGATTCTTTATGAAAGGGACGGTGCAGATCGCTCGGTGGAGTTTATTCTTTCCCCAAGTGATGGGAATACATTATACAACTGTAGCCAAATATTTATGTGATTATTGGCTAACCTAAAAAGGAAAAGGTGGCAACTGTGATTGATTCCTTGCATATGAGTGAACACTTTCAACATCAAGTGGGTTTGGTTTAAGGCCAGTAATTTATACAATTTTTTTTACAAGAAAAATGAAGGGCATATTTTTACATATATTTCTTTGTTCATTATGCGTTCTTAATAAAATGAGAAAAATTATATGATAGCTAACCAGCGGTTTGGTTTCGCTTGTTTTCACTCGTTTCTTCGTTTGAATCTCAATCCTTCTTTCTTTGTTTAGTTGATGATCATTGTTGATTATGGTGATGGCTTCGCTCTTCTTTATTCTTCTATGCTTCATCCATGGAGTTTACACAGCCCCACAAATATGACGAGTATATAATATACATCATATACTCCAACCTCGAACAAGATTCATTCCAAGTGTTGTGCGCTCGATTCCTTTGTGAATGTCATTTTAAGTTCTGATATGTACATACTTAAAACTTATTGGCATTGATTTCGCTTCTTCTTCACTTATAACACGATCATCAATCTCTATACATTTTGTTCTCTCAAGAAAACTCAAAATATCTATCATTATATATTGTAGATTTGTTGTCACAACACTCGACCTTCATATTTGACACTCAAACCAATATTTGATCAAATGAGAACTTGGAGACAATTGCTTGCTTGCTTCTTAGAGAGAAATTGATGTTTGATGCGAAGAATAAACCTTCAACATGGAGAGCTCTTGATTTATATCTCAGGATCAGTGCAGCGATGACATGGTTGGCCGAGATAGACGTGGAAGGTCGGTCGTTGACTATAAACAAGTAAGAAAAAGGAAAGCCAGGCGAATCCTACAAAATGCAAAACCAGGAAGCAGTAAACACAATCAATCGAAACAAAGTGCGGAAACACAGAGGAACAGAGGATCCTTTCCCTCCATCAATCGGGCAACAATGGCGGGTCTGATGTACCAACTCTTATCCTCGTCGGCGCTCATCTCCCTGGGGTTATACCACCTCATCTCCTCCGCCCGCTCCTACCTGAAATCCCCACAGTCCTACACCGCCAAACCCTTCCACCCTCTCCCCGCCGCTTCCCGCCTCCGTCACCTCCAGCTCTACCTAATCATCACCTTCCTCCTCATCGCCTTCGCCCACCAAACCCTAATCTCCTCCGACGCCGACCCTTTACTCAAAGGCCGCACCCCGGTCCACCGATTCACCTCCCTCCAGTCCGCCGCCGTCGTCTTCCTCTTCCTCCTCCTCGCCCTCGCAATCCTCCTCGCCGACTCCACCTCCTGCCTCCCCTTCCCCCCGGACCTCTTCTTCGCCCTCGCATCGGCGATCTTCTTCCTCCACTACTCCGTCTCCTCCTCCGCGGCCTCGGTTCAGACCTCCGATCTCCAGGCAAGGTGCGACTCGGTCTCCGCGCAAATCTCCGCCCTCGCGGCACTCCTCTGCCTCGCCCTCGCCTGCCAGCCGCGGCTGTTCATCGCCGATTTGGGGCTCGGCGCCGCCGTATGTCTCCAGGGGTTGTGGGCGCTGCAGACTGGGCTTTCTCTCTACGTCGAGGGTTTCATCCCCGAAGGATGCCACAGGCTGCTGGATGTGGTCAGCGGGGTGGAAGGGTCGACCAAGTGCGATCTTGAGGATTCGAAGTTGAGGGCGGTGGCGATTTTGGATCTGGCGTTGATTCTTCATGTCATGGTTGTTATGATCACTGTGCTTGTGGTGTACGCCCTGGCAGCCAGGGGTTCTTCTGGTGTTAGGAGATCTGGCGGATCGTACGAGGCCTTGCCCACTACTGCTGCAGCTGCTGCTGATGTTAATCATATTCAGATGAAGGCATTGATTGGCACCCAGGCTTGAAGCTCAACTCTGCTTTTCTTTCGTGATCTTAGATTGACTGCTTTCATTTTTGGCTTGAGTTTTTTAGTGGCGATCATATGTGTCTGGTTGTTTACCTTACCACTGGAATCAAAAGCAAGTTAGGTTGTCAGAGTATGATCACATTCTGGGTTCATTTTTGGTATTGGATTCAGATGGATGTGATTGAAACGTCTGGTGGTGCTGAACGAGCCTTAAGACTCTGTAAACTTGGTCATGCCTGCAAGTAATCATCTTTGCCATCATCCTGGTGGTGCTTTTGTTCATGTTGGTGCTTGCCATTTTGTTGCAATCATACAAGTTTGGAGAAGCAGCTGTTGCTTGCGTGTCTGATTTCAGCTGTCAATTTCTATGCTTCTTACTATATGCCTGGTCCAGTTTCTCTGGTGATTTACTGTCTGCACTTGTTAAGTGGAGGTTAAGTTTGCTTTTCCTTCTATTGTTATTATATCGCTGGTGCATTACAGGCCAGTCTGTTGGTTCTGAATGCAGATAGAATGATGCAATTTCAACAACAGGGCTATTCATTTTGTATGTTTCGGTCCGTTTGTTTATCGACTCTGCTATGCACAATGACACGAATCTGTGGATCGGCCTGCACATATGAATTAATAATAGAGGTGTGTTGATTGTTTGTTTCGTATAATGGAAGAGAACTTGGTCTGGTTGGAACTGAGATAGAACATCACGGGTATTCCTCATGGTATTGCACCTGCCATTGTGATGGCAACAGCAGCAGCAGGTTGATAGATTAGCCTTTTGTTGCAGAGGGTGAAAGAGTTTGTTGTTGGCATCAAATATGGATAAGCAACTAGTATCTGGTATGTTTGTTTTACAACATCCTAGAAAGGTACGAGAATAAATGATGCAATTGGGGCATATATCATTTGACCTTTGCTTCCATCCCACGTATTTTGGTATTTGAAGGCTCATATCCACTGAATTTCACCGCAATCGTTCAAACTTGTATCACTGCTGTTCCTTTCAAATATGCTTCAGAAAACATACAACTAAGACTATCTAAGCTCTACAACAAGTACAATCGGCTATGGCTTTCCCTGTTGTTGACAAAACAAATGATACACACACACACACCCACAACAAACTAGACTACGAATAAAAAAACGAATCGAAGTATCTCTCAATGGGAAATAGAAGCCTGCCAACTGAGAACTACTGCACAAGCAGGATGACTGTACCTACGATATGGTCTGAGAAGAGAAGTGCTGCACGTCGACCTTTTGTTTCCTGGAAACCAACATGCCCAATTGCGCGAGCCAGGCTGTTCATTTCTCGTAGATCCAAGCCAGCTCCTCATCAAAAGGGGATGAAGCATTATCCACAGCTTTGCAAATCTATGGTATTCACATGAGAAGAATCTTGTGACAGAAGAATGAAGATTTCATCTGGCATTAAATTATGGTTTGGATGTTGATCGTGCTTGCATCGGGGTTTGGAGGTTAGAAGTACTATTATCGTTCTTCAGATTCGTGAATGTGGAGTAAATGTTCCCCATTAAGGTTCTTGAAAGAATCCCCTCTAACATACCATGTTACAGTCCCTGCAATGACAAGGTGTAATTGCCAGATTAGGTAAAAGATAGCCTGAAAGACGATTAAAAATTACCGAATCAGTAACTGAAGAAGACATCTACCACTGGAAGGAGGAGGTTCTTGATCTCTTGTCGAGTGAAGTATAATAGTACCGGTAAGCACAGTGATAAACCCACATATCTCAGATGCTATGCTGCTGGCATCTTGACCTTCCCAATCCTGCTCAAATATATAAATAAATAGAAACAATAGTTCATTCCTGGTAGTATTAATGCAAATGATTTTAGCTGGGGAAAAAAGCACCAGCAAAATGGTGGTGGAGAAGTGTACCTTGAACATTATAGCGCTAGCAACAATTGTCAGAGTTGTGAACATGACATAGTATACTGGCGAAACAACTGCTGCATTATACGTATCTAATGCCTGCAGCATTGACAAGATAATAAAAATTGCCAGTAATCAGACTTGCTCCATTCAGTTTAGAATAAGCTATAAATCAACTTTGTGAAGCACTGATTGTGCCACGCCAAATGAGAAAAGAAAACCAAGAACGACACTTGCATGCATTTCAGTAAAAGATATTAGGCGAAAAAGAAAAACACAGTGAATAGAGCAACACTGCATTAGTGGTTCCTCTGCAGCTGGAAACAAAAGCTACACACTGAATTTCGATATCGGATACAGCAGATTTACTACTAAGATTGAAATATTCCAACATTCTTGATGATTGCAACATGAGATTAGTCTGCCATAAATATTATTTACCTACCAGCATTCATCCAGAGCAAATATTACCCTAAACTGCCCTTAAGTTAACACAATACAGCACGGGGCTTCAGCTTTCCATGATTTTCAACTCACTATGTTATAGGTAGAAGTAGGTGAGCGAAACCATCTATGACTTCATGAAAACAGAATACATGCTGCGTAAACAATAAAAGTACCCTCCTTAGTACCTACTCCCACTCCTTGATCTCCTAAAATGGACATTTCTGTCCAAGTCAACTTTCATGAGTTACAGTGCCCATCTTAACCTAAATCCAATTTGTGACCCAGCATAAATCTGAAACTAATTGTCTGTAACTCTGTATCACATAATAGATACAGTCGATGCTGTAAAAGAGTATGCACCACACTACTAGGGGCAGGTTCAGATCTTCTGGTGCAGGAATTAGATAATCTTGCAAATCCCCAGTTGGAAAGACAAAATTGATTCTTTAATTCTTGTTGCAAAAGAAAATGGCCCAAATCCCTTAGAGGACGACTATGGGACAGGAGACTGTTGCAACTGTGGCAAAAGCCAACCACTTTAGCAGTTGTTGATCACGCAGCTCAAACAGAGAGAATAAGGATCAAGTCGAAGGCCTTATGCAACAACAAATGGACAGGAATAGGACAAACGTCAACTCACCTTGTTCAAATAATTTAACTGTGTAATGACACATATTGCTGCTACTGTGATGAACAACCAAGTCTGAGGACAAGTAATCTGATTTATCCCATCTAGTGTAAGCTTTATAGCTATTCCAATAGCCTTGATGCTCACAACCTGGGAAATATAAATAGAAAACAAGAAAGGTCAAGCTATGCAATGAAGATACCGCCAAGATGCCACTGCATTTCAGGAATTTAACAAGAGAGCAAGTAATTACCGTGATTGAACCCATCAAGGAGCATATTCCTAAGTAGACCAACATGTTTGTTTGACCAAATCGTGGTTCGAAGTGTATAACCAAAGCTAACACTGTTGAGACCGTCGCGACTATATATATCAGAAAAGCTGCAAAAAGAAGTCAAAAGCTTCAAGTAATGAATAATCGTGGAAAGCAAAATAAGAGAGTGAGAAGTGATTGAATGCCCACCTGGCTGAGTTGCCAAATTCCATACTTCTTCTACAGAGTTTAGAGGTTGCTCTTGAGGTGCGTGGAGAACAATAATTACTGATCCAACAATGCATGAAACGCAGCCAAGAACACCCATTCTTGGCAGTCTTTCATTCAGCATAAAATGTGCTAAAATTGCACTATTGAATTGGAATAAGCCGGTCAGTAACAAGATAATGATTACAGCAATATTACACACTAGCAAGAAAATTGAGAGATATCTCATTCACCTGATAATTATACTTAGTGCCCCAAGGGGAGTCACTAGAACGGCAGGAGCATAAACATAAGCCACAAAATTTGCAACCTCGCCAAGAATCACTGTTTGCATGAAAGTTAAAACTAATCATCAATTATCCATTTCACGCCGAGTAAGTGACATGAGTGTGAGATTGAGAGTGAATATGAGTAACTGAGTGTCTGCAAATATCTGAGTGAGACAGAGTAGCGAGTGAGAGATAGAACTATACTTACTGGTAACCATGCCAACCCACCATAGTGGCTCTAGTAAATAAGTATAACCTCCAACTCCTGCATTTTTCAGGAGGAACAACTCATGAGAAATAATCTTCGAAACTCAATGATGTTACCTTGAGCTGCAAAACTGCGACTTTCTAGCACTCAATGTCTAACTTTCAAGGCCAGCCAACAACTCCATAGACTTGGAATAACCCATTGAAGCAAATTAGACAAGTGAAACGATCCCACTGACTATATCCTAATAGTCCACCCTCAACTAGTTCTCATCACATCAACCATTCGAAACACTCATGAATTCAGAGACAACAGATATAATCCCAACACAAGCATTAGAAACTTGTAGAACTTGTCATCCTGTCAACCGATACATCTACTTCGGTATTTACCATAAAGTGAGACGAAAGAGAATAAGCATACCACTTCAACCGTATGAATTTACTAGGGGGCATAGTTTACCAATATCAATCAAGCTCGTGTCTGAAGTTCACCAATACCGAAGTGGAAATCAAGACGCGCGATCTTAACAACGAGTTCGACGAACAAACAAGATTAGGGCGAGCTGAGACTCCAAAACCACGGGAGAAGAAATCAAATTGCCAAAAAGAAAGGAAGTAACCAAACCTGCACGAGTGCCGGAAGCACCAGCTCGCTTGAGTCCTTTCTTTTTCAGGATGAAGCTCGAACCAATAAACGCGCTGGACGCCACTGCCAATATCAGCCCGGTCGTGTTCTCCGAGACTCCCATCTTTGATCTTCCTTCCTCCTCTCCTCTTACATAAACACACACAGCAACCGCAACAGGCAAGCGGAGAGTTGGCGGCGTCTGCGGACTAATCTAGCCCTAGAATTCAATTCGATCGCAGGAATTTTGACGGATTCCAGCCGCCGCGGAGATCGAAGAAAAATCAGAAAGAAGAAACTCGGCCAATTTCCCGCCAAAAGGCAAAACGAAGAAACCGCAGAACCAGATGCCAATCAGAACGACGCAGAAGCGCGCTCTCTGTCCGACGCGGCGGCGAGAGGCGGGAAGCTGGAGAGAGTTTGAGAAGTCAGCTGATTAGCGCTTCGGTCGCGGAGTCGTCGGGAATCTCCGGTATCCAGCAGGGAAGTGAACAAGAGGAGGATGGTGAGGCTATCCAGTGTTTCGCGGAAAGAAGACGGGAGTTCTGCACCCGGTGATCGCAGCCGCTTAAGGAGCTGACTTTAACTTGCTGAACTGGGTTTCAACTATTTATGGTCGTCCGATTTTGGATCCCAAAAATTACAGAAATTCTTTAATTTTGTGGTGATCCGTGTCTGATCTGGCCTTTCCGCCTATTGGCAATTGCAATTTGGCTTGCTGCAAAAAAATATAATATAATGTTTTTTTTTTTGTTATAATAATTTCGTGTCGGACGAACGGTATGGAGACAGTTGGCAGGTTGGTGCATAAGAATTAAGAATAGGAGGGAGGGAGGGGTGGATGTTACGGTAATGCCCTTTACTCATCAAGTATTTTTTGAATGATGCCCTTCATTCATGATGAATATTCTCGTTTCCCTCTTGGTATTAATAAATTCCGACACGTTTTTAGTACTATATTATTTTTTTTTACAATATATTCTAATAAAAGTTTTATAAAGATCAAGGATATATTATCTAGATTTGTTAATGAATTCAAGCTTTATAAGATGCATTATCGAAATTTTTGTATCCGCAAGAGATTCATAATAGTCCTATTGTAGTCACTGTACTTAATACTTATAATTGTGGACAAAGATGTTCTCACCCCAACTATAACTATCACATAACTTAAACAAACTAAAAAAAACCATAGCATAATAGTATGAGTATCTACCACATATTATACCTTTATTTCAATTAGAGGTGGAAGTTTGGTTTGCGGGTTGCGGGTAACCGCAAACCGCCCACTTTGTGGATACCCATACATACTCATAATTTGTGGATAGTGGGTTGGGTGTGGGTAGCAAAATATTGATTTTTGTGGTTAGTGGTTAACCACTACCCACAGCGGTTTACCCACATTACCCACATTAATTATATTTATTTCTTCAAATACTTTGTAACCCACATTAGTTATGTTAGTTTGTGAAATTTGGAAGACTAAGAATTAAAGTAGCTACCAAAATCAAATGCGTACTTATTCTATAAAACAAAACCAAGTCAATGCGCAATGTTCATGTGAGATATTTTTATCAAATAAACATTGTCCGCGTGGTATATGTTTATGGTATAACAAAACCAAGTCCATAGATATAGTCAGATAAATTTGTTAAAAGAGGGGAATAATCGATAAAGGTTAGTCTGATACCCATAATAATCTTCATTTCTCCACGAATTCACGAACAACACAGCATGCAACCAACTATCAACAATACAAGACTATAATCGAGAATGGAGAATAAGCAACTCATTAAAAGCAGGCGCCTCCACTTATCGAGCCACTTTTGTGTTTTGCTGTTATTGCCATCGGAGTAGGGGTAGGCATACGGTTCGGTAAAACCGAACCTAACCGAACCAAATTCAAACCGAACCGAAACCGAATAATATTAATTCGGTTCAGAATTCGGAAGAGAAAATGGTATATTTCGGAAACCAAGGTCCTTTCGACCGAACCGAATTTTCGAATTCCTAACCGTTTTCCGAATTACTATAATTGCAAGTTCAAAATGGTGGATTTTTATGTTTGTACTTATTATGAGACTTAAATATTTGAATTATGTTAGTGTTTTATGACTTATGTGTTGAAATGTTTGATTTTATCATTGATGATGCATTTAATTGCATATTTATTGTTTACATTAGGGGTGAAAAATAATTTAAAAGATAAAAAATACAAGTTAACCTCACAATTTCGGTTTCTCATACAAAACCGAACCGAATTATAATTCGGTTTGAACCGACCTATAATTCGGTTCGAATTCGATTTGAGGTTTGATGGAACTCGGAAACCCGGTATACATTACTTCGGTTCGGCTTGAACCGAACCGATCGAATGCCCTCCCCTAAATCGGAGGAGCCGTGACATGCAACGATGTTTGTCTAATAACAGGTCACTCTGCCTCTGCATTATCTTCAAATCTCTTTCCAAATCCATCTCTTCTAAATTTACACTAACAAACCTATTGTATTCGAGATTTATAATTTATTTAACACTTTATTAACTTTCTATTATGTATGTTTTTGTTTTTTTAGAAGAAACACAACATCACTATTTAGTTACCATATTATTATATTTAATGTGAAATTTTTGTGGGTATCCACAACCAACCCACTGCGGGTTGTGGTTAACTACTACCCACTGCGGGGCGGGTTGTGGATAACATAATTATACATTTGTGGGTGTGGTTATCCGCAAAATGTGGGGTGGATAACCACACCCACCCCAATTTCCACTCCTAATTTCAATCATCTGCAATCCATCTTTCTCAAAACGGACTTCGTAGCTGGTCACTGGTCTGTCTGATGCGTGAGGTGGACCGATCACATGTTATCTTGCTCTGTCTCACTATTCTCTGTGAAAAAATATACTGATGTTTGAATGTCGAACAAATGAGATACGAGCTAGACAAAATTAGTACGATAAAATAAAAATCTAAACACTAATATAAAACTTAAAAATCGGAGATCTCACCTGCCTGAACTCAAAATTAACTTTTCTTCGAACCCCAGTTGAACTTTCTACATTCAAGAAACCAATATTTGGTTGTTTACTTTATTATGATCGTCACGAATTACTTCTTTTATTCCAACGAACCGAAAACTTCAACTACGGGTCTCAACTTTTTCATCAAAGCCCAATAAGAAACATACTCGTACATGGCTTGAGTTCAAGTCTTTAAACCTCATTTCTTAAGGAGAATCTTAAAGCCTTTCTATTGGCTGATAGTGGATTAGGTAGTTAATGGGAATTAGTAGTTAATAGGTAGTTAAGAGTAAATGGAGTTATGCAAATATAATTAATATAATTAATTAATGATTCTCGTTCTCTCTCCTCCCATGATTTTCTCCATAATCCTCTCTTTACATTATAATTAAAAAGAAATATGAAATTAATTTTATTTAATATTTAATAAAATCTGAATTTAATAATTTTCTTTTTCTAAAATGGATATTTGAAATTTAAAATATATGCCTCTCTCACATCTTGGCAACTTCCGATTAGTATTAAGTATTAACATTTTGTAATGACATTATCAATATTTATATATTGAATCATCATTAGGGCTTTTCGTTGCATGGGTTTGGGATTTTTCATTGTTAGGTATTCGTTTGTGTTATATTAACGTTGTTCGACATGTTTTTAATAACTTTATATGACATTATTAACTTTTTATATTATGTTTTGTTTGTAACATTAGCAAAAGTGAAATTGTGTTTTCAATTTGTTGGTACTTGAAGTTTATTTATTATTACATCGTATTATCAATTTGGTTCGCAATGATTTATAATCATTTGAAGTGCTATTATCAATGTTTTTTTTTTCCAATCACAATACAACCATTAGCAAAATTTTATTTCATTTGTAAGATTGCTTATGTTTAGTGATTTAAATTATTAATATTTTTTTCGTTTATGTTTGTAACTTTGTCAAATGTCATTATCAAGAAGCATATTTGTTAGGTATCCGTTTGTTTATGACATTAGCAAAAGTGAATTTACGTTTAATGATATAACTATGGTTATTAATCCTCCAGTCTAAGTTAGTAACGTAGTTGGTGTCATTATTAATAGGTGTGTATAAGCATTATCAATGTTTGAAAAATAAGATATTAATAATATCTAATAAGGTACTTAAAAATCATTAGTTGCTATCATTATCAAACTTTTTGGATGCATTATCCATTAAACACATGTTACTTATTAATGCGTTTTTAGTGCTATTTGACATTAAACATTGCATCTGAATATTATTAATATTTTTTTATTACAAAAATCTATTTCCTTATCAGTGACTTGATCATTCGATATTAATGGTTTTTAATATCTTTATTAAATTTTGATGTCATTTATAATGTTGAAGTCGAACCTTTTTACATTGATGTTTTGTGTTTATTTTCAAAGAAATATTTTACGTTTATTAAAAGTTTGGTGTTTAGGAGTGAATGTTGGTTTGCTTGAGCTAATATTTTTCTAAACAATGTTTGTTTGACTGAATCACACAGGTGCACTATGTCACAAGTACCCAAGATGTTGAAAATCAGTATTGTGCTTTATGATCATTGAAAATGATAATGCAAAGCAATATTAATTGATAATAAAACGTTAATAATATCATTAGAAATCATTGGAAGAGACCATGACTAGATAGTTATAAACATGATGTGAAAATGTGAATCATTATACTAAAGATGTTGTAAATGAATGATATTGTTATTCAAACTGTTAATGACCATGTTACATAACTTTAATGATTCATTCATACGTGTTGATGATGAAACTATAAAACAGTAACAATTGATCCAAAATTGTTAATAATGTAATTGTAAGAAATTGATAAGTATATTGAAGTCGTTAATAATGATGTGGTATAATAATAACGATTCATTTCATAAATGTTGATAATGTCATTGCAAAATGTTAATACTGTATTGCAAGTTGCCACGAAGTGAGAGAGAGCATATATTTTTAATTTTCAATTTTCATTTTAAAAAGTAAAATATATTAAGTTCGAATTTATTAAATATTAAATAATAATATTTAATTAAATTAATTTCGAATTTCCTTTTAATTGTAGTGGAGAGAGAGGATTATGGAGAAGATCAAGGGGGAAAGAGAAAGAGAATCATTAATGAGTAATATTAATTATATTTTCATAATATTTTATTTATTCCAACTAATTATTAACTACTAACCCCTCATTAACTACCTAATCTAGTATCAGCCAATAAAAATGGTTTAAGAATCTCCTTAAACAATGAGGCTTAAGGACCGGATCCAACCCGCTCATACATTCTCTACATAACCATCTTATCTTATCTTACTATATAGGGTAAATACAATTTAATATCCAAACCTTTCATTTTAAACAATATAATAGCCAAACCTTTTCGAAAACAATCTAATATCCAAATCGTCAACTTTCGGTCCGTTTGACCGTTGGTTGACACTTTAAAAGAGCTTTGTTTAGGGGAAATTGTCGTAATACAACTTTGTTTTCTTGTTTTTGCATTGCAGATGACTGAATATTTAGATATTTTATACCATCATGGTGGAGTCATGGACTTCTCGGGTTTGGAACCACGATATGTTGGTGGTTTTTCAGAGAAGATATCGATGGATATTGATGAAGCGTAGTACTTCGAACTTTTTTTAAGTGTCAACTAACGGTCAAACGAAAGGAAAGTTGACGATTTGGATATTAGATTGTTTTCGAAAAGGTTTGGCTATTATTTTGTTTAAAATGAAAGGTTTGGATATTAAATTGTATTTACCCTACTATATATTATGGTTGTTCAAAAACAACTTCTTGCCATATAAGCACTTGAAGAATTTACAAGTTGTCAAGGTGGACAATTTTTGTACAAACAAAAAAAATAGTTAATGAGCTATTTATGGAATTATCTCTCTCTTCTTTTAATGATGTTTTCTTTTATTCAATAATTATTTTTAATTTTCATATTATATCTATGTTTGTAGAAATGGATGTTTATAGAGTGATATATCACATTTAGTTAAACAAAAAATATATTATTAAACTTGATCAAGTAAATTTTCTACTATTTTTACCGAGAGTAAATAATAAGTTATATGTTATTGAAAATTTTAAACAAACACACACACATAAACAATAATATTTCCATCGATTAAACAAAATATAACGATGGAAATAGAGAAAATAACTGTTAGAAAATCATTCTACTTTCAAAAATGAACTATGTTATTTTATATTTTTGGCTATTAAACACTCTCTTATTTAGAGATGGCAACCAAACCCATGGTCGCAGGTACCCAACCGCCTCCGACCTAGTCAATACGGGGAATCTCTGCATTGATTGGGTATGGGGAAAACCCACAAAATTTTTGATGGAGATGGGCGGATATGCTTTTGAAATCCTCATCCCCAAACCCGCCCCACCAAGGATATTATGTTATATGCAGAAAATATAACATCCACTTATGTAATTGATGGCAACCAAACCGTAATTTCATCCACTTATGTATCAGTTCCATAATTTTGAGCAGTTAGTACCCATATTTTTTACATATTTTTTATGGTGAGTAGTTGATGGGCCGAGTATTACCCATGGCCATGGGTATCCGAAAACCGCGGGTATGGAGATGAGTTTGTAAAACCTTCCACCGTATGGGTATGGGGCGGGTATGAGTTTAGATATTTGAAAATGAGGATGGTGATGGTTTAGGCAAACCCGCCTCATTGCCATCCCTTCTCTTATTTGTAATTAATATATCTATAAAATAAAATAAGTATTATATAGTAAAAGGTTTGGATAGAAACTTGATGATGTACACGTATTATATGACACGTAAGTGTTAGAGAAATCTTTGTTGACGATCTACGATAAACATTATGTTTCATCAACCACTGACCTAGCATTAATCAAACATGGGTTGACAATTTTCGTTTAATAGTTGAATGTCTTCTACATTAAAGGCCTTTATAGTTAGAAGACTCTAAACCAAGCTATTAGGTTAAAAATGAAGAATCTTTATAAGCATGAGATCAACAAGGCAATTCTAATAAGTCATTTGGTTGCATGGTTGTGAGTATGTGACTCCATACCAAATTTTGGCAATAAAAAAAAGATTTGACCATATCAAAATGTCAAAACAAAATGTTAGTCTGTAACCGTAAGCAATATGTATATAGATCGAGTTATCCTATCCCCACAATTTTGTTGCGTATTCCATTGAACGAGGTGTGTTCAAAGGTCTTAATTAGGGCTACAAAATAAAGTAAACTCTTTATATACGTTTAAATATTAACAATAGATGTGTCTATAATACATCCAAGAATTCATCCGTGTGAAATGTCACAAAGTTTCCATGAGTTTTAATTTTTTTTTAAAATATCAACTTTGTCAAAAAAATAATAATTTAATTCTTTAAATGATATGACGTTTTTAATGCACCTATATCTATGTGCATTGTAGTTGTTGACATGATTTATCAATTATTAAGATCAATGTAGTAAAAATCGAGTTTCTACATAGAAACGTTTTGGTGATCTAGAAGCGTAAAATCGTAAGTTTTTAAGTTTTAAAGCGGAGTTTTTAACTACATAAGTTATAAAAACTAAGATTTTGTGTAAGCATTTTAGTGACCTAGAAACGTAAAATCGTAATTTTTTAAGTTTTAAAGCGCGATTTTGACTACATTGATTAAGATATATAATGCATATTTTGGTTCCAGAAGTAACACCAAAAATAAGGAAAATTTTGCAAATGCACATTAAAAAATTTGGAACGTTATACACTAAAGGATCATGTGAAGACGAGAACTCTTGAAAGTGTGTGAGAGTGTCTTGGTTTGAGATTCTTACAAGCCAACATGTAGACAACAACAATTGGTTGAAGGTTACTACAAATTTTCAGAATTAGCAATTGGTACAAATTGAGTAAATAAAATTTAATAGCTATACCTTTCAGAATTTTCAATATTTTAACCAAATTTTTTGTATTAAATTTTTTGTATCGCATCAAAATATTAATTATTTTTCTTTAATTTTTAATAATTTTTTAAATATTTTCTTAATTAAAATACAATTTTTTTGAAAGGTATAACTATTAAATTTTGCTAACAAAAATGCTAACTGGGAGTTAACGTTTGGCTAATACTTTGTATTTTGAAAGGTATGGTTGATAATTTTAAAGTTTGAAAGATTTGGTTAATAAATTGTATTTACTCTATTGTATAAGATACTAAATTTGAGTTTCTTAATAGACAAATTTTGACATAAGATCCTCAGCAGAGGTTTAATGAACATTCACATAAAAATGAGTCAAGATTAGATAATTTGATCATCGTAAGGAGTATGACGTGTGTCAAGTTTCACTTGGGATAAACACATTTTATCCAATAATCAAGTATTTCTATCCAATAATCTGGACTCTTAATAATTGTTTGAGAGTTTGTCCTAACTCGAGAATCACGAATTTTTATATGATTTATAATTTTAGAAATTTGAGTGACTTGGTTGACAAACTTTTGTATATATTCTAAGTGTGACGTGATAAACCTTTAAAATATGATTTATGATTGGAGAATCGAAACCTATGAACATCATAGGTGGGTGTGCTAAATATTGAGAATTTTTTATATGAACATATAACATACTCACTTATGAAGTGTGAGCATAAAAAAGTTTGAAGATTAAAAAAAAAAAATTAAACATATAGATAAATTAATTTCTATAAATAATGAAATGAAATATTCCGGCCAACGGACCGGGTAAAAAACTAGTTCACGTATACATGTGATTAGTTATAGGAAGCGACCACGTGGCGTAATTAATCATATTCTCTCTCCATGCATCAACAATTAACAAACACACAAATTGGATGCTTTACCCAACTAATCCAAACTCCTATCTCTACTCCCCTCTTCCTCCTCTGCCCTCCCCTGCCCTGCTTTTCCTCTGTTTTCTTGCTCCATCTCCGTACCTTCCTCATGGCTGCATCCATTGTGTGCAGAGTAGCATTGATAGTGGCGACGACGGCGGCGCTTCTTTCCCCGGCGGTAAAGGGGAATTCGGACCAAGTAATAACTACCGATGAGGTGGACTACCCAATTACCAGCGCCGGGTGTGATTTTTACTCGGGGAGATGGGTTGTTGCCGCCGGTAGTGATATTACGACGAAGGAGGAGGCGGCGGCGGAGGAAGAGTTGGGGCAGGCGGCGCCGTTCTATGACGTGTCGGAGTGTCCCTTCATCGAGCAGGAGTTCGATTGCTTGAAGAATGGACGGCCGGACAGGGAGTATCTGCGTTACCGATGGCAACCCAATGGCTGTGAGCTCCCCAGGTAATCATGAATTTTAACCTCTGTTGTTATTCTGTTATGTTTGTGTTCATCTTTTCAATGCAGGTCTATTATGGAGAAAACTAAAGAAGAAATTTTATTGATAGGGATATAATCCTAAATTAATTAGCTTTAGCCAGCTTCTTCCATTAATAACAGGTTTAGTTATCATGTCACAGTCTGGCTTCCTTTAGTACATAGGTACATACAGCTCATTAAGATTAAATAGACAGGCTAATCAGCTGAAATTAGACAAATGATGATATGATATTATGCATAATGAAGCTTACAGTGGGGTGGGGTCTCACCACTAGGGCGGAAAATAAGAGCCAAACTGATCACGAGCGCGACTCAAAATTTGGATCGAGTAAAAAAAATAGTTCGATTACTGACGAGTTAAGATTGAGTTTTAGCCTTGTTCAGTTCACAACGCTAGCGAGCCAGCTCGCGACTCGGCGGCTTTGTTCGGCTCAACTCGTGAGTTAACTCGTTTTGAACTACGAGATGATGGTTCGACAAACAGCAGTATGGCCAGGCCAGGCCAGCGAGCCACCTCGACTAGCAGCTTACGAGCGAATCGATTAATAACTTTTGAGTATATAATGTTGATTTGATATGTATAAAATGATGATGTAGGTTTGATGGGGAAGATTTCCTGTCAAAGCTGGCCGGCAAGAAGATGATGTTCGTCGGAGACTCACTGAGCCTGAACCAGTGGCAATCCTTGACATGCATGCTCTACGTCTCCTCCCCACAACCAAACAGACGCTACACCTTGACCAGAACAGGAGACGTCTCCACCTTCACCTTCCCGGCCTACAACAACACACAGATCCTCTTCTCCCGCAACGCCTTCCTCGTCGACATGGCGGCGGACGACGTCGACGGCGTGGTGATGAAGCTCGACTCCGTCGCCGAGCATTCCAAGCTGTGGCAAGGGATGGACTTCTTGGTCTTCGACACGTGGCACTGGTGGCTGCACACCGGCAGAAAACAGCCGTACGTACGTGTAAACCCTTTTTTTCTTCTTCTTCCTGATTCAAATCGTGGATTTTATACCATTCCCTAACAACGAAGAGGCTGGGGTTGCGTAATGTATATATTCTGTAGGTGGAAGACGATCGAGCTGGGGAACAGAACGTTCCCGGAGATGGATCGGATGGTGGCGTATGAGACGGCGTTGGAGACGTGGGCTGATTGGGTTGAGAATCATGTTGACCCTGCGGCCACCAAGATCTTCTTCCAAGGGGTCTCTCCAGATCATATCAAGTAAGTTAAAGGAGCCAGTACAGTTTGTCGTTGTTGTGGTTGCAGTATTGTTGTGACAACAAAGGTACAATTCGACGACGAGATCATGAAATGAAAAGCCGAACGGTGTTTAGTTGGTATTTATGAGAGATCGTAGAAGTTGTCACTTTTTATGTTTTAGTTACTTCACTGGGTCTAATTTATAGTATTAATGTTGAGATTAAGACAAAAATAAGAAAATAACAAAAAGAATAGTGTGGTATGACGAATTATGAGAAAATCGAGGGAGAGAAAGATGTGAAAAATAATATTGACAATAAAGTTTCGGAGATAAGTCATATTGAATGAAAAGGGAAAAAAAATATAATACAAAGTGTGTCTAGTGAGATTTGATCATAGATTCTTTTAAACAATGATGGAGCTAGGTTGAAATTAGGAGGGATTGTAGTCCACCTCAACTTTAAAATATAGATAAATTTACATGTAAATTTTGTACAAATTCATGAATTAGAATAGTCGGTAAAGTTTCAAGCTCCTCTCCTCCAATTACCATAATTCAATTAACCTTTTCAGCTTCTATTTTTCACATTAAAATTATACTAATCAAGTAAATTCATTCTTCCAAGTTTTTTTTTGTGTTGATAAATTAGTGCTTATGCAAGGCAATCATGCTTACATGGGGATTATGTATGTAAATTAGTGCAAGTGATTGGGGAGAGGCGAGCAGCGGCAACTGCAGGGGACAGACGCAGCCGGCGGCCTACGACGCCGGCAACTACCCGGGAGGTCCTCATCCGGGGGAAGTGATTCTCGACAGAGTTCTCCGGCGAATGTCCAAACCCGTGCATCTGCTGAACATCACCGCCTTGTCGCAGCTGAGAAAAGACGGCCATCCGTCCGTCTACGGCCACGGCGGCCACCTTTACATGGACTGCAGCCATTGGTGTCTGGCCGGCGTTCCTGATACCTGGAACCACCTTCTCTATGCTGCCTTGACTCTACAACCTTGATTTTTAAGTCGTCTATGTCACAAATTAATTAATTTTTGTAGCCAAATACACGTACCTTGTTCCATTTTGCGACTTTTTGCTCTTCTTATCTCATGTTATCTTAATTTATGTTACTAAATGATATAACATTCATAAACAACTTACGGGTCATATTTTTGGATATGTATTGTTCTGAAATTATACAAAGTTTATGATCAAATCACAAATCATTAAATCAATCAAATAATTAAATTGATTTATATATTATAAGTTGAATGGTTGATAATTTATTTTTACGTGGTATATCTCACGTACTGTACTTAATCTTTACTATTAGATTAATGTGATGAAGTATCATGAAGTTCAATAGAAAAAGTATCATGATTTATTTGTTCTAGAATTACGAGATGAGAATGAGTGAAGAACTAAACATCAATGCGCATAATACCTGCACCCTGGCGTAATTATTTAGAATGTAATAATGGATACGTGTGGGCCAGCAAGTCAAGTCAGCAACGCAAGCGGGGTGCAAAGTTCGCTTCTCCTTCCTGCGAAAGCGAAACAGCGAATCAATGCTAACCTACGCCTCTCTTGTCTTCTTCTCTCTAATTTCCTGGAAGACGGAACTTTCCGACGACTCCGCGACGGAGACTGAAATCCGCTGACTATCACATCTCCTCTACCTTCCTCTCTGACTCTCGCCTCCGCGCCGGAGAGATTAACTGCTGCATCATTTTGATTGGTTGTTTGTCATTTTGCCTTTAGGCGGGAAATTGGTCGCGGTTTTTTTATTTATTTACTTCAGCCACCACGGATGGGCGAATCCGTCGTAATTTGGTTGGGAAATTCCCGCGATCGAATTGGATTTTAGGTCAACATACGCCGCTGCTGCTGGTGCTGGCGGTGTGTTTATGCAAGAGGGGGAGGGGGGAAAGAAGATGGGAGTTTCGGAGAATTCGAAGGGGCTGATACTGGCTGTGGCGTCCAGCGCGTTTATCGGTTCGAGCTTCATCCTCAAGAAGAAAGGGCTCAACCGAGCTGCTGCTTCCGGTACTCGTGCAGGTGTGTGTCACTTTCGTTTCTCTTTGGCGTTTTGAGTATTCGGCAGCCTGAGAATGTCAGAGTTCCCGAGTAATTGTGAAGATTTTGCTATGTTTTGGTTTCAATCTGGAGCTAAGTAAAACTTGCTTAGAAGTCAAATTGATTATTTATGGACCATTTCGAGTTGCAGTTCTCTTCTGCCAATAGTGGATTTCTGGAAAGAACATTGCAATAACAGAACTAGGAATTCATTGTCCATATGGCTCTGCCCTCCAACCATGACCAATTTCGTATGGTGGAAGTGCTTGTTCGTTCTCTTTATCTCGCTTTCTGGTGCTGCCAAAGTAACTGATTTGGGTTTATATATGGTGCCGTCGACTCTGGAGTTTCTTCAAAACTTTGATGTGATGAGAGCTTGTTGAAGGAACTTTGATATGACGAGTAACTTCGATGCGTTATCTAAGTCAAATGGAATTGTAAATTGTTCCCACATTAGAGCCGCTAGATCGAGCATTAGGAGTGTCGCAGCTGTCAGTAAAAGTGCACACCATTGCTTTTCAAGATTATTTCTCATGTGTTATTTCTCCTGAACATTGTAGGAGTTGGAGGTTATACTTATTTACTAGAGCCGCTATGGTGGGCTGGCATGATTACCAGTAAGTGAAGCAATCTCTCACTCGCTCCCTCTCTCTCTCTTTCATCTAGAACAGGCACACACAACTGGTTGGTGATTGATTTGAATTTTAATGTTAGCAGTGATTGTTGGTGAGATTGCAAATTGTGTGGCTTACGTTTATGCTCCTGCCGTTCTAGTAACTCCCTGATAGACATTTTAATTATTTCGGTTTATGTCGGTTTGAATTATTTAGTTCGGGATTATTTTGGGTATTGGGAATATTGTGGGGGATTAATAATTTGGGGGAGTTAGTAGGTAATTGTGCTTTGGGTATTTAGGCTATTGTTTACGTAGGGAATGGTAAGCAAGAATTAAACCTAAAACTACCTCTCTCTCTCCTCTCTTCCTCTGTTCGGCCGAAGCCTTCTTTTCCCCTCTCAAGCTGCCGCACGGCAGCAGCCTTCCCTCCCCTTCTCTCATCCCAAATTCTCCCCAAATCACTCTCTTTCAATTCCCCTCAATCCCGGATCAATCCCTAGTTGATCCCCTATCCCCAATTGTTCGATAGCGCTTGACCTAGAGCTCTATCATTTGGTATCAGAGCCCGGTTCTTGGGTTCGATCACAAACAGCGAAGGAAGGGTGCAATGGTGTCCACAAAATCGATGACAGCGGCGGAGAAGGCTGCCAAGGCGGCGGCGCCGGAGCAGGCCTCCACCGCGGTCTCGACCGGGCTGCCGGTAGCTGGCGGCGGCAACCAGGGGGCCACCGATCCGCGGGACGGTGAGCTGGTGGACGAAACTGAAAGGCTGGAGCTGATCCAGTCTACCTTGGATCGCCTGGTGGCCGAGTTCGAGAAGGAGCGCAAGGAATGGCGGGCGCTCCGACAGGAGCAAGGCGAACAGCGGCGGGAACAGGAGGAGGAGTCCCGGTGGGTTTGGAAGCGGTTTGATGAGGTGCAGAGGGTCGTGGAGGCGCTGGCCGCCGCGCAAGCCACTGGGCCGAAGGGTGGTGGCGGCGGCGATGGGAGCGAAAGCCGGAGCGGGCTGGGAGGCTCGACGGCGGATGGAGGCGCGGCGGCGGGTGGCGCGGCAGCGGGGGCGATGGTGGTGGCGAAGGCGCCGCCCCCAACGGCGGCTGTCGAGGTGGCTGACGCGGCGGAGGTGGTGCCCGGGGCCGGGGAGCGAGTGGGCCAGGGTCAGCCAGGGCGCAGCGGTGGGCCTGGGCTCTTACCGACACCAACGGCCCAGGAGTTGGCGGCCCGCAAGGGTAAGGCCAAGATGCCAGGGTACGACAATGGGCCGCCGCCGACTGGGCAGGGGCCGCCTAGGCCAATGGGCCGGAGCGACATAGTGGGCCAGTATCACGAGCCCAGAGGACTGGGGTGGCTGACCATGGATCACGAGCGGATCGAGGAGGAGCTCAGTCTGGTGGGCCAGAACGCGCCATGGGCCGACCCGGCGGGTGGCGGGGACTATTTGGGCCCGGATGTGACGGGGGCCCAGAGCGTGCAGGCTAGGCCGGGCCAGGAGGGCCGATTCGGGCCGGGCCATGAGAGCCGGTTCGGGCCGGGCCAGGAGGGCCGGTTTGGGCCGGGCCAGGAGGGCCGGTTTGGGCCGGGTGGACCGGGGCTGGGTCGGGGAGGCGGCTCGGTTGGTCAAACCGACCCGGGGCTGACCGGGTCGGGTCGAGGTGGGCCGGGTCGGGGCGGACCCGAACCGGGTCGAACCGACAGTGGACCGAACCGGTTCGAACCGGGGTTGGTTAGATCGGCCAGCATGGACCCGAACATGTGGCGCGGCTCGCACGATGCAGGGAAGTGGGCAGGACCGATGGGGCGAGGGCCCGCAGGCAGCTTTGGGCGAGGAAGGGGGACTCCGTTCTACCCAGACCAGTCAGGGGGTGCTCCCGGTTATGACAGGTATGGTTCGTATCATCCTGCTTATGATGGAGCTGATGGAATGGTCTTTCGAGCCAAACCCCCGACCATTGAGTTTCCAAAATTCAATGGTCAGGAGGATGCAGGGTTGTGGTTGTATGCAGCAGAGAGGTGGTTCAGAAACCACCCCATTCCAGAGGAGAAGAAGGCGCATCTGGCGTCCTTCTACTTAGAGGGAGAAGCGCTGCAGTGGTGGGAATGGATGGAGAGGTCCTATGGGGCGGTGGGAACTCTGATCACTTGGCCGCTGTTTCAGGAGGAGCTGCGTTATCAGTTTGGAAAATCGGAGGGGTGGGCCCCAGAACAGTTGGCTAAGCTGAAGCAGACTGGCTCTGTTGCGGACTACCGTGCAGAGTTCTTCAAATTGGGCAATCAATGCCATGGGGTCCCGGAGGAGACACTGGTGGGGTTGTGCATGGCAGGCCTGAAGCCGGAGATTGCTGCTGCTGTCCGGATCTTTGAGCCGGATTCCGTGAAATCTGCTTTTCGTCTTGCAGGATTCAAGGAAGAGGAGCTGGCGAGTTGGAGGAGCACCATGGGCCGTAATCCGCGGGCAGGGGGCGCCGGGAGCAGTAGCGGACTCAGCGGTGGAGGAGGAGGAGCGGCTGGGACCGCGGTTGGAGCTGGAGGACCCACGGCGACACAGGCGCCAGTAGCTGTCGTGAAGGGAGGGGCTCGACCCCCGCCCAAGGGGTTTGTGCGACTGTCCCCTGCTGAGATCGAGCAGAAGCGGCGGGAAGGGAAGTGTTTCAACTGCGACGAGAGGTTCACCATCGGCCACAAGTGTGCACGTCCGGACTTGATGATGCTGGTAGGGAGGTGGGAGGACGAGGCGGAAGATGAAGCGAGAGACGGGGAAGACGCAGGAGAAGGCTACCAACCTTGAGGACAAGGTTGTTTTGAAGAGGAAGGGAATGATAGACATTTTAATTATTTCGGTTTATGTCGGTTTGAATTATTTAGTTCGGGATTATTTTGGGTATTGGGAATATTGTGGGGGATTAATAATTTGGGGGAGTTAGTAGGTAATTGTGCTTTGGGTATTTAGGCTATTGTTTACGTAGGGAATGGTAAGCAAGAATTAAACCTAAAACTACCTCTCTCTCTCCTCTCTTCCTCTGTTCGGCCGAAGCCTTCTTTTCCCCTCTCAAGCTGCCGCACGGCAGCAGCCTTCCCTCCCCTTCTCTCATCCCAAATTCTCCCCAAATCACTCTCTTTCAATTCCCCTCAATCCCGGATCAATCCCTAGTTGATCCCCTATCCCCAATTGTTCGATAGCGCTTGACCTAGAGCTCTATCACTCCCCTTGGTGCATTAAGTATAATTATCAGGTAATGAGATATCTCTCAATTTTGGTGCTAGTGTATATGATATTGAGGTTGTCGTTATCGTGCAACTGATGTTCTTATTCACATTCAATAGTGCAATTTTAGCACACTTCATGCTGAATGAGAGATTGCAAAAGATGGGAGTTGTTGGCATTGTTTCTTGCATTGTTGGATCAGTAGTGATTGTTATCCATGCACCTCAAGAGCATACTCCAAGTTCTGTAGAAGAAGTATGGAATTTAGCGACTCAGCCAGGTAGATATTCAATCATTTTTACTATCTTTTTTCCTTTTCTATTATTATTGCTCGTTACTATAGCTCTCCACCTTCTTTTTGCAGCTTTTGTGATGTATGTAGCTGCTACAGTCTCAGCAGTGTTTGCTTTGATTTTACACTTTGAACCACGATCTGGTCAGACAAACATGTTGGTCTACTTAGGAATATGCTCCTTGATGGGGTCGATCACTGTAATTACTTGCCCTCTAGCTTAGGAGTTCATTTGGAATTATTTAGCGACGTCTGGTAGCATCTTGACGGTATATTTACTGCATACCTTGGCCTTTTTCTTTCCTCAGGTTGTGAGCGTCAAGGCAATTGGGATAGCTATTAAACTTACTCTAGATGGGATAAATCAGATTACTTATCCTCAGACATGGTTTTTTCTCATGGTAGCAGGAATATGTGTCATTACACAGTTAAATTATTTGAACAAGGTGAGGTTACTTTTGCCCTATTCCACTCCTTTTTTGTTCTGATCATCCTCTTCACTTAAGGCCTTTGACTTGATATTTGTTCCCTGTGTTTGAGTTGCTTGATCAATGACTGCTACAATGCTTGGCTTTTGCCAAAATTGGAAAAGTCTTCTAGCATGTAGTGGTTCGCTGTGATCCTCGGTTCTTCAGCAATAGGATTTTAACGTTCAACTTCGTCTCTCCAAGTGGGGTTTGTAATATGATCTAAGGATACACGATTCACACATCAGAAGTTTTGAGCTGGTCTTGTAGACCGATATCCGGTTCAGGTTCAGATGGTTAATGGAAACCATTAAAGTTGGCTCAACTTGACTATTTACAGAGTAGTGTATGAACTAGTTACTAAGTAGGGTACCTACTATATCAGCATGTATTCCGTTTTCCTGAATTCATGGAAATATTTTGCCCACCAACTCGTTTTTATCACATGGGCAGTTCAACATCACGGGAACCTGAAGAGCCATGCTGAAATGTGAATAAACAAAGTTTTGAAGAGATTTAAATTTGATGAATGCAGGTAGATAATATCTACTGAACAAATACTCCATGCTTCAATTTCTTTAGTTAATCTACGGAGACAACTTTGGGAATACCATCTGGAATTTGTTTTCAACTGCAGAAGACACTAGCTAATGCGGTGTTGCGTCACGAACATTGCTTTCTTTTGTTATTATCTTTTACGGAAATGTACTATGGTAGCTGCTCTAATCTCTCCCTACTTAGATTCCCATGATCAATTGCTCTATGATGATTATCAGCTTATTTTGACCTGAGTGGTGCAAGTCTGATTATGTTCACAACTATTTCCTAAAATATTGTCAATGTTGCAGGCGCTAGATACGTTCAATGCAACCCTTATTTCTCCAGTGTACTACGTTATGTTCACAACTCTCACTATCGCTGCTAGCGCTATAATGTATAAGGTAACCTGCTCAGCTTCCCTTTTTTCTTACGGGTTGTTTCAACTAGAAGCATCTGAATCAATTTATCACGGACTAATAGTTCTCTTACGTTTTATCTGACCAACCAGGATTGGGCGGGCCAAGATGCAAGCAGCATAGCATCCGAGATATGTGGGTTCATCACTGTCCTTTCAGGCACTATCATACTTCACTCAACAAGAGATCAGGAACCTCATCCTTCGTCACGAGGTAAGACGTCTTGGCTTGTTGCTGTTTTGCTATTTCTAATCGTTTGGGTATTATGGTCAGGAACTACATAAATAAATTCCTGAAAGAATGATTTCTGCCCGGTTGGTTGTTTTGTGTTTGACCTCCTGACAGTCACCGTGCAAATTGTTTCGTGGTTGATGTGCTATTGCCTCCCTTCAGCGAGGCAGTCTGCACTTGCTCATTATATTACCTATATTCCTCATTTGCAGGGGACAGGTTACGGTGATTATAGTAATCACCGTGGTTACTAAGGGTAAATTGGGTATGGAAAAATAAATTATATTAATTAATTTTTTAATAAATTATATTTAAGGTAGTTACAAAAATCTATTCATTAAAAATCTCTCTTTCTCTCACTTCTGTAATCTCCAGCCAGATTTCCTTTTCATATTTTTCTCAATCTTTCTGCAAAAAAAAAAAAAAAAAACGAAATCAGTACCAATCCATTAGACAAACACTACCACTTTGAAAAATATCAATACCATTGCAGAAATAAATCTATACCATTATACGAAAACTACCATTGCAGAAATAAATTTATACCATTACACGAAAACTACCATTCAAGAAATAAAAACACTACCATTTCACAAAACATCAATACCATTCAAGAAATAAAAACACTACCATTTCACAAAACATCAATACCATTCAAGAAATAAAAACACTACCATTTCACAAAACATCAATACCATTGCAGATTTAATCACTACCAATGCGACAAAATCAATACAAATGTAACAAAATCAATACCAATGCGATAAAATCAATACCAATGCGACAAAAATAATACCAATGCGACAAAAACTATACCAATACGACAATAACACTACCACTACGAAAAAAATGACTACCATTTAAAAAAAAATCACTACTGAAAAAAAATGACTACCATTTAAAAAAAAATCACTACTGAAAAAAAATGACTACCATTTAAAAAAAAAAAAAAAACATACCATTCCGATGGAGGCAGGGGTCGGCAGCCTGGACAAGATTGCTAGCTGTAGTTCCTCCGCTAGCCACTGGTTGACGGGGCGGCTTTGTCCGGCGGAAATGCACAAGAACAACCAAAATTGGAGAGGGAGTGAGGGAGGGATCAGAGGAGGTGGGCGGATGGTGGGGGGGAGAGAGTGGAAGAGAGGGGAGGGCGGGTGGAGGTGGGCGGAGGTGGGGGGAGGGGATGAGGTGGGCGGAGGTAGGGTGGGAGGTGAGGTGGGCAGAGGGAGGCGGACGGCGGGAGGCGAAGGGAGGGGGGGGGGGGGGTGAGGGTGAGGGCGGCGGGAGGTGGGAGGGGTGGAGAGGGTAGAGGTAGGGTTGGAAAAGGTAGGTTATAAATATAGATAATAATCTGGTGTGATAATATTTTGATTCCCAAATTATCCTTAATTGAATCTTGACTGTCATTTTAAAAATAGGAAAAAATAGAGCTAATGAAGGGTTTAGATATAAGTAGCCACAATGGTTACTAAAAAACTAGTATCCACCCTAACGCATTCCCTCATTGCAGGAACCGTGACATGGTATGTCAGAAGCGATTCATTCAAGAACCCAGACCAGGAACATTTACTCGACATTCTTGAAACCGAACCATAATAAGTAGTGATCTTTGGATCAACACTCAAGCTCTTAAATTTGCAAGCTAGGAGTGGGGTTCAATCTTCTGCGTGAGCGCGTCGTGAGAGCAGGCGTACCGAACTTGATGAACATACCAGTTTGTTCTCATTGCAGGAGCATCGAGATTAACCCGACGCCAGAAACCAGACCCGTCTCCGATGTATATGTACACAGAGTGGTGGTGTGATAATGGTAGGGTGATTGGTACTTTGGTAGGGCTTGTACTTATTTTGCCTTTCAGGGTGTTAATTTGATTCTTTACCTGTATTAGGTGTCTCATTTGTTTGTTATAGTTAATATTTAATAGTAGTAGACAACTAGGGATGGCAATTTCGACCTGACCCGATTTACCCGACCTGTTTGGCCTGTTTTGGGCGGGTCAGACCCGCCCTGTAGGCGAGGCGGGGCGGGCATGGATATCTCTCATCGACCCGACCTGTCCTGACCCGCCCCATTCTCGACCCGTTCTTGCCTAACTTACATATAATCTTAGTCAAATTACTTAGAATTCTCCTCTTATTACATTATATTTTAGCTATAATAAAGTTGTAATTAAGTGAAAACCTCAATTTCTTCAATAATTTAACTAGATTTTATCATATTATGGTTTCTTTCTTGGTCTTTTAATGAAAATAACTAATATTTCTAATGTTTTGAAATAAATCCCGTAATAAATTACCCGACCTGGTTCCGACCTGCCATGGGGCGGGTAATACCCATACCCGCCCCGACCTGCCCATTGCCATTACTATAGACAACAGCTTAATGGCTCATTAGTCATTACCTCTGATTCCAACCAATCATCATAGTTAGTAAATACTCCGTTTAATACACGTATATGTACCCGTACGTACTTTATCCGTTTAAAACTTCCGTATCCGTATTTTTGTCAAGCCGTTTCATTTTTGTCCGTTCATTTGGTGGCTCCCGTACTAAACACGTATAAAATCCGTATAACACGTTTTATATCCGTATTTAATGAATTAAATTGTTAACTTTACTATTATTTATATATTTATTTATTTTAAAAATATTTTATTTTATATATTTATGACTATTAACGTACTATTAAACGTAACATTAGCTTAGAGATGAAGTAAAATACCCGTACATATTATATCCGTAACTTTCCCGTACCGTATTTTACTAACTATGCCAATCATGACTAAATAAGTGCCCTTTATTAGTCTCCACTAACCACTAGACCGTTATCAATAATTTCTAATCTAATCTTTAGTGCTTGAGATCCGGCGCATGGAATATCTTAATGGCAGACAATTTGTACAGGCGGAAAACAAGCATAAAGTAATAGATGGGCCTTCACATCATGGGCCAGCAAGAGGCCCACCGTGACCAAGTACTCTTATCTACTCTTCTCCCGTCAACATCGATTGTACCGAATTCAATTATTTAATCTAAATTTCCACTCTTTTTCTCCAATTTCCTCAGCCCGAGATTTGTCCTTTATCCACAGCGGGGCTAATCCACAAGAACAGTAAGAACAGAGCGACGAAATCAAGGTAAAAGGAAGAGGAAAATCGAGATAACGCAAACCCTAATCTTATTTATGGAAATTGGTAGATCCGATTCTGAAACACATAAAAAAGCGTTACAAAGACCAGCCAATTGTCCCCGTCCATACTCCGGCTCCGATAGGAGCGACTCCGATAACCGAATCCCTAAAGAGACATCCGAAACCCTAATCGACTAAAAGCAAAAACGAAAACAGGACACAGACACGGAAGAGAAAAGACACCAACAACACCCACCATCTCGTCACCGGTTGAAAAATAACATCAACGGAACGGAAAACACTCCCCACTTAGAGCTGGCCACAGTCGGCGACGCAGACGGGCTTCGAGGTCCTGCCAGATCCAGATCCGACCTTCTCGATCGCCCTCACCACATCCATACCTTCAACGACCTGCCCGAACACGACGTGCTTGCCGTCCAGCCACTCGGTCTTGGCGGTGCAGATGAAGAACTGAGATCCGTTGGTCCCGGGCCCGGCATTGGCCATGGACAGGATCCCGGGGCCGGTGTGCTTCCTGACAAAGTTCTCGTCGGCGAACTTGGATCCGTAGATCGACTCGCCTCCGGTGCCGTTCCCGGCGGTGAAGTCGCCTCCCTGGCACATGAACCCTGGGATCACGCGGTGGAAGCTGGATCCCTTGTAGTGGAGCGGCTTCCCCATCTTCCCGGCGCCCTTCTCGCCTGTGCAGAGGGCACGGAAGTTCTCAGCGGTCTTGGGGACAACATCGGCGTACAGCTCCATCACGATCCTGCCGGCCGGCTGGCCGCCGACGGTCATGTCGAAGAAAACTCTGGGATTGGCCATGGTGAGAGAGAAAGAAAATCGGGAATTAGGGATTTGATTTCGCTCGAGTGGAAATCCCGAAGGTTAGGGTTTATGATGTTTCACTGGTTGTGGGGGGTGTGGTTTATATATACGATGAGAGGCGGTGAAAGGTGAAAGGGATTGAGATCTGAGCGTCGGATGGAAACACGTGTCGGGATCGCAACGGGTGGGAGAGTAACCGGGGTTCGGTTAGGAGACTGACTAGGGTTAAATGTGGGGAGATCTGCTGTGGAAATATCGCATATGCCATTTGTCCAATGGTTAGGAGGAGTGAGGACAGCGACGCGCGGAACGACGACGTTTCTTGCCGTGCCGAAAGGTGTGGGATCGGCCAATTTTGGCGTGACGCGCGGGTGGGGGGGGGGAAAGTACTTTAATTAACGGTACAAGTGTTGGCGCGTGAGGCATAGAGTGGACTGTGTCAGCTATCCGTTGGGGTTTCAATTATTACCCTGTTGGCCCCCTTTTCTTTCAGAATTAACGGAATTATATTATTACTTTTGTTAAATCGCTTTTCGACGCTTGTACTTTTGCTTCTTCTGCAAAAGGTCCAATAAATTTTTGTAATTTGAACATTTCAGTCCTTGATATATTTATAGTATTGATCCCATTAATAATTTGGTCACACTTACGCATCTACGGGATTATCTTGCCAACTTCTATTTCATGTCATACTAGAAATGTACTTTCTCGCAAGTTGAATCAACGCACGGTAGCGAATCGTGATTCGATTGATTAAGTAGGGTGATTTTGCTTATTTGTATAAAAAAACAGATAAAAGTCAGAGATCCAAACCAAACGCCATGAGATTTGTTTTTTTTTTTTTTTTGGGTTATTGACCGTTGGAATTTATTTTTTGAAATGGTTCTCTGTCTCTCTGATGGTGGAAGTGAATGGTGGAGGAAACTTCTGATTTCTGAACCCAAAACAGGAATAGTTTAAAAGTAAAGCAATAAAGGAGAGGAGACTGGAAATCCGGAAATTCCTTATTTTAATGGATTTTCGCTCCCTTCTTTGTGATTTCCATTTTGTCTTTTGAAATGCCTAATGTACTTTCTAACCCATATATTAAGCAACTTCCCAAACAAGTTAATTTTGTTAGCCCAACAATGATTATGACTACAAATCAAATCCACTGTTTACATATGATTTCAAGCATAGATACCACTTTTAAGATTCTTTCAATGTCCAACATAATCACACAAGTCCTTGTATAACCCTTACACGTTAAGTAAATAACTCTCACAAAAGGTTGAACTAAAGATCACAAGTTCAAATACTTTAAATAGTATTTTATTGAACATCAAATTGAAAGAAAAAAAATCAAACTGATATCTCCTTTACAAAAAAAAAAAAAAAAAAAAAAAGCTCCTCTCACAAATTAGCCTACCCTAAAGAAATTAAATAGAGGACGAATCAGAACTCTTTAGATGCGTAAATTTCCAATTGAATTATTCCTCCTAAGCAACTAAGAGAAATGTAGATGCCTGAATATTCATATCACTGGTTTAATATGAATCGAATTATGTAATACTTCACATAAATTAGGCGTATTTGTGAAGGGATGGAAATGAAGGTACAGCACTTTCAACAGTAGAAGAGAGTGAATGTACACACTAGACTGTAAGTTGTAAACTGTAATTGCATTGCTACTGCTTGGTCGAGGTTTTCCTTACAAGTTTTGGGGGAAATAGAAGAGTTAGGTCCATCCTCAACAAAAGAACAATCATTGTACACCCCTACCGATTCTCTTCGCGTACTACATTCTGGGTGTATTCATATTTCCCCAACAAGTAGAATGGTACAATTAACATACAAAATTACAAGCGCTAACAAATGGAAAACTCAGGTCCTCCTTTCCCAGTTGTTTGCCAGATATTTCCCTTCCTAAATCCGTGAAGGTTACATTCTTTACTACAAGAAGCCTCCATTTTGCAACAATCCCGGGTATACCATCGACACTATCTGCTTCAACGATTTCATCGACGGGTGTAGAAAAGCATGACCCTCAATCACTACAGCAAACAAATGACAAAAACGATCAAAAATTGGGATTCAAACTGAGAAAAAAGGGACTCACAAAATTTCATGGAAGGTTGATGAGCAAGATGGCTTGGTTAGTACTCACCTCTGAACAACATTTTGACACCGTTTGAAAAGCCATCCACCCGCCCCAACACAGGCCTTATTCCGCAGATCTGCAGAACAGAGAGCTCCAAATATAGCGCCATCTCCAGTATCTGAACCAAAACTAAGGAGATGGACCTGGCTTCTTCATTAATGACCTTTGGTTCACATATGTCACAGATGACAGCGATAGCTTGATCCTGAGATTTCACAAAAGAACAAGTCAATACTTGAAACATCATACCAAAGGCGTGCAGATAGACCCAAAGAATGGGGATGGAGAATACTTGTTGTCAACTGTATAAAGCTAGTGGATTTGTTTTTGCCTAAACAATAACTTAACATATTAGCAAAGACGAACACACCCGTAATGTAATTACATCATACCTGCAAACCATGTAATATATCGGGCATTGGAAGTTCAGGTATGTGAGCAAGATCAACAAACCCCACTTCCACAGACCTCTCAGCAGCACTCTTCGCCTCGATACAAAGAAACTTCAAGAGCAGAAATGCAATCCTATACATCTGGAGGGCTACCAAGTCCGAGAAAAATGTCGGAGCAGGACCACCATCCGTGAGACCATTTGGCTGATGACCCTTTAGAACTAGGGCAGTACTGGTCACTGAGACACCAGGGAACTTGGAACTTGTTGCACAACAGTGAGGTGAAAGAGCAAACCATCCATGCTTGCTGCTTACGAACGATGCTTTCTCACAATACTCAAACTCTTCTTTAACCACAGGAGGACAAACAAGCGGACAACCTTTTATGCCAGTAAACTCACCAAGGCGGTGGTGAGCTCCTCGGCTAATAAATGCTAATAGATGAATACTCTTCTCCCTGAACTGCGAATCATCCATGTCTTTTGTAGCCTTGACCCATGAAACCCTGCGTTTTGCCAGCACGCACATCAGTGTGAGAGTATTCTCTGTTTCCTTAAGAGCAAGCAAAGAAGTAGGTGCACTTTGTTCCCTCGGCCTCTTCTTGGTATGCATGTCCGACGTTTCAGGTGCACTGAGATAATGAGAGACCACATAAGCCTTCTCGGCAAAAATGTAGGGTATGAAATCATTGATGATGTCATCACATGTGGAACCGTCTCCCAGTGAGTGAATCATGGAAGTGACGACAGCCAAACCAAGACCCCAGATTTCTTCTTGTGGCTTCTCGTCTTTCTCGAACAACACTCTAAGGGATGGCAAAAATCCGGAAGCAAGGAGCATCTCAGCACCACTTCTCACACGAGCAAGAGTGAGAAGAAACTTCATTGTTGTTATTGCTGTTGCTGTTGGTATGGTTGAGAGGCGACACTTGCCATCATCTTGCAGATTTTGGATGACATGGGGCAACCTAAGATGCTCCTTTATAAGTGGAAGCCAAGTGTTTGGGGTCACGAAACATCTCAATATTAAATCAGTCGTGGTACAACAGATGGCAGAATGCTCGGCAGCACCAGTCATGCACTTGCACAAGATGGGCAATAACCCCATACAGGTATTTGAAAGTCCATCGATTTTATCAGAACCTGTGCAAGATTCCAGTGCCAGTAGCATGACCAAAGCTAGAAGCTTCGTAGACATTGTAGGCAAGACTCGATATGACTTGGAGTCGGCGAGAATCTTGAGGCCAGCACCTGATGTTTTTAAGACGAGCATGACAGTCGACAAAGGCAAACCAGTTTGTATGTATCTTATCAGGCATAGAAGCAATTCAGCCTGTGCTTCGATGAGATCGAGAATCTCTTGAGATGCATCTTCACTTGAAGATGCCAACGCAGTAGCGGTGTGAATATGTTTGCAAATGTGATCGATGCAAGCAGCACATTGTTGAATTGAAAACATTCCATGAGCATTGTCCTTCTTAGATTGCTGCAAAAGTAAGTACCAGGCAGTTTACAAAATATATCTCATAGATATACAGAAAATGCTTCGAAAAAATCTGAAAAGAAAAGGAAAATCTACAAAGGCTTCCTTCCAAGTAAATCAGCAACTAGATGCCGGTAAACTGGAATGAAGTGAGAAGATGCCAACGATAAATATTTTGAAAATTATACAAAGATCAAAAGGATAGCGACTCACATTGTCATAGAAGATGTTAAAGATGGTTGTCAATTCCCTGAGGGCAGAATGCTTCGAACTCAAAACCAAAAGCATTGAGTTCACTTCCTGCATGTAGTCCAGCATATTCTCTGCAATTGCTTTTGAGGCTTTCCAACTTGTGTAATCCCACAAATCTAGTCCCAAATCCTTCTTTAAGCATTTGAGATCATATAAATAAACCTCTTTTGTAGATGGAAGATGTCCATTATCGTACTCTCTTTTATAACTCTCAAAGGAATTTGACTGAACCAGATACTGAGTAAGTTCTTTGAATGCCCCATGCTCTATTATCCGGCCTTCAAGTTCTCCTTGAAGATGATAGTATAGATCATCGAGTATTAGAATTTTGAGTTTGTCTCCTTCACTAAGAAAGAAAAAAACAGCCAAATCAGAAGATCTATAATTGCAGCAGCCTATGACCTATAGGAAAGAAATCTCCATTCACAGCCATTCAGTTTAGGAAACAGTAAGTTCTAATTAGATGGTAACGAGATTGAAGTAAGAAAAACTTATGTGACAGCGAAAGCAAAACCAGTACAACTTAGAAGTCTTATAGAATGAATAATCAAATTCAAAAGAATATATACCTGTAACCACGATGAGAATATTGGGCCACCAAGTCCAAAAATGCAGGCTGACTGCTTAACTGCAAACATTAAACATAGAGACAACATAAGAAAAAATCAGCATTATTAAATAAGAAACTGTAGGGGAGTTCAAAGCAAAAAACTGGATGAACACGGCTAGAACAGACTGATACATTTTCAAAATCTTTCCCAATCTTCTCAAGCAAGGAAACAGACAAACTTCCAGAATCTCCTTTCGCAAATTTCCCCATTGCATGGACACTAAACAAACTGGATGCGACCTGCAAATTATACATGATGTTGTTAAATTATCAATCCAAACAGTCCCGGGCAATTATTTGGGACATTAGGTTGCACAGTTACACATTAGCACCCAGGGAGAGTTGTGAGAGCACAAATTACCTAGAGTCACCAAAGATGACATAAAAAGGGGGGAAATCAACGCAAAAGATCAGGAAGATGAAGTACAAGATCACCTTTGAGTGATAAAAGATTTTGCTTTCATATTCACAAGATGTATATGCATTGATCAGGCTGCCAAGTATAGATTTTTCACACCAACTTGCCCATACATCTCTTGTGCCAGATTGATCTGAGTCCGATCTTCCTGAGCTTGGTGCACTTTCTCGCTTTCTATCTGTATGAGAGGCTCCCTTCAGAAGCAACTCAGCATGCATCAACTTTTTCTCCAGAAACATATCAAATGCCATTATTTCCAAAATTGCAGATTGGCACTTATATTTCAATGCTAAGCTTTGCGCCTCCATTTCAGACAATTTTTCAAGGGAAACATCTTTGGAAGCAGCAACTGATGAGATACAACCGGACAAGTGCTTCCAGAATTTCCCAGAACTCTTCAAGGAATCTATGATAGTAATATAGTGTCCAGCCCCTTGCCACAAGGCCCTCACGAAATGTAAAACACTCAGCAGTATGCGAGGATTGCTGGAGATATAGTGGAAAGAGGGGGGAAAACACAGCAGGAATTAAAATCACATATGTGCAAAACCAAAGTATCAGAAAATAAAAAACTTGGGCAGTGGCGTCACAAAACACTAGATGTACCTATACTATGCCAAATCAAATCATCAATATGGTACACACCAAAACACATAAAGCCCAAGACAACTATTACCTTCAGTAATTTGAGTAAATCTATTTTCAATTTTAATGGATAAATAACTTCAGAAAAGGCAACCTGTTCTAAAATGGAAAGCGAAATCTTGATTGAGAACCAGGATCAAATGAATTCTCTACAAATTTCCAAGGAAACAAATGGCAATGGCAAATGAATTCGAAAAGTAAAAAGTAGTTATGTATACGTAAACAAAACCAAATCAAGACTTAAAGTCAGCTTAAATGTCATCCTTCATGTAGCTCTTGCCTTTAGTGCAATAAAAAATATGTACAGCACAAGAACCCCCTACTTGCCATGGAAGAGATGTTTGATAAAAATACATTCGCAATCATTATAATACAGTTTCAGGTGGATTAAATTGCATTTTCAACTCGATACAAAAATAAGATTCCAAAGTTCGAAATTCACAAGTTCTAAGAGAAGGAATGAGCTGGGTATAGTCAGTTGACAACTAATATATCATAGCATAATAACCAGTGTACTAATCAATGAAACCTAAAGGACGTTTCATTCAACGAAAGATGTTTCCCCCTTTATACAATCTTTAACTCCAGGGACCATCTTATTCAAAGGTCTATCACTATTACTTTTGGATTTTCCACATCAGTGGTCAACAGTTGCATTGCTTCAGAAAACATGCAAACAAACAAAATATGAATTCAGCACAAGCTAAATCCGATGTGAACATACCTTGTAATTAGATCATTAGATCTTTCCACGTATGTCATCAAACCATCTGATAAACTTGCTTTCTTGGACACTGGTGCACCATGAATTTTTTTGCTTGTTGGCATCTTTGTTTGACTGTTATCACCCACCTTGACTCCAGCAATATCATTTGGAGAAAATATTGATACAAGAAAAGCAGGCTGCAATGGTAAAAACATGTATCAGTTTCTCAGCAAAGAATATATTTCAGAGATCTATGTGTAAGATCAGGCAGACTGAACTTTTACTCAATATGACTCGTGCACATGTTAAAAATTTCTGGCAATACCTGGAACTGAACTATAATACAAATGAGCGCAGCTTACAAACAAAACTTAGCACAAGTAATTTTTTGGCCGACCGCTAGCCAGAACTTTTTTCTGTTATTCTACCTATGGGCAGCAATTAGCAGTCTTGGTTCGAATGACCCTCTCTAATCCAAGGCCTGTTTCAAGGCCTGTTTCCCAGAACATGAAGAAACAGAATAGATATAGCTGGCCCGGTTGCATTCTGAATTGTAACATCTAATTTGGCCAATTGGACCAGAAAAGGTTAACAGCCTATTTGCATATAAATAGATGCAAGTGGTTCACTTGCGGAAGTACATACATTATACATATAGATGCTATCAAAGTATAAAAATTTCGGAACAGGTATCATGCATTAAATTTGTAATCCTAGCAAGTCATAACAAACCTGTCAACTTTCAAACGAAAAGAATAAAAAAAACCCGACCTTATAACATGCGGCAGAAGTGAACACATTCATTAGAGAAATGAATAGATCTTCATTGTGCTCCAACAGCTCAAAGAGAGCACGTCCGAAATATTCTGTTAAATCTGTAATCTACAACAAAGAACTTAAATTCAGAAAGGTTACAGAACTGAAAGAACAGAAAACAATTCAGATACAAATAGGTACAAACCTGATTATTATCGAGGACAAACCACACATTACCAGACAGATATGGTTGTAAATATTCAGTCGTAATCAACAACATCGCTAGCACCCTAGCAGCGCCAACTTGCACTGTCTGCAGAAAAGAAATTAATCAGAAAAACAAACCAAAAACAGTGAAAATGTGTAGCTTGTGCGTAATCAAACTAACAAGTGCACAAATAAAAAGTTCTAAAAAATAGAATGCATTGTTATGAGAATCAAACAAAGTTAAGAAGAAAAATGGACAGAAGTTGAAGGTAACCAATATTGATCTGCTTATTCCATCATACATCCATCAATTAGAAGCATGAACCTATTCTACCCAGCTAATTTTTTTGACTGAACCAGCACTTACTTCATCTTCACAAAATATTTTATCAAGGTTCCTTAAGCATTTCGAGAGACAAACTTACTAAATCCCTCAGTAAGGTGTGTTTCTTTACTATTATACTGTTGAACGGTTCACACTGCCGTTTTCTCGAAAGAGGCTAAAGTTTTCTACCGCAATACTAGTGTGCTAAAAGGGAAGTTTTTAGTCCAAAAGTTTCCTAAAAAGGACAACAGACCTTTTCCATAATGCCATTAGCATCAAGTATCTAACACATAACAGAACATACAAAGTGCCAAGTAACACATAAGCTAACAACACAATGATTATAGTCTTTTATGGAAGGAAAAAAAAAACACTGGCACTATCCAAAGACAGTTGCTTTTGTCAAAAACAACCAAAAAACCACATGGAAATCATTAATCCAGAAGGAACCAATTAAAGGCTGTACATACTCATCTAATACAACATCAATAAGAAACCACCTGTATCCCCCGTGCATTAAAGGTCTTCAAAATAGAATGGGAGGCCAGGAAAATACACGTGTGTTAAAATCAGTAGTTCATCTCGGACATGAGTAGAGTAGCACTTGTAATGCAAAAATCTCAAACCAGATATACCATAAACAAAAGGTTCAGGTTATTCAGTGAAGCAAAATGCATACCGGATTTTGGGTATATGACAACAAGGATATAGCAGCAGCAGCAACAGAATCTGGTTTTTCCGCAGATAAAAGCACTACTTGATGAAATAAAGGTATATTGCTTGAAATATCCTGAAATGGGAAATTCAGTGATTAAGAAACAAACTAACTAAATGTGCAAAGGCTATAATGTGAATAATAGACAAATGAAACTACCATGATAATTGAACCTCGGATACTTTCTTTCTGAAGACAACAGACAGTCTGCCTATGAATATAATAACTTCAATAAACTAATCGAGCGATAGATATTTGAGGTTTGCTGCAAATATACTGTCTATCTAGATAGGATGGTCGTGGTGGCAGAGGAGATTAGCCAGGGTTTTTGAAGCGGGTTTCAAGAACTGGTCTAGGTTTGGAGAATATACAAACAGGGAGATGGTGCGGGGCATAGTGCCTTAAGCCACTTTAACCACTACACATATAAATTCATAACACCTGGGCTCATAATGTAAACTTTCCCTATTTATGAAATGATAGGTAACAAGACAACTACTGACAGGCACGCAAAATAAATGTACAATAGACAGTGTTGGCTAAGACATACCTTGGAGAACTCAGATAGCATTATGTACAGAACATCTAAAGCAGAACCTATAGCAAGCTCAAATCCTTCAATCTCAGTCAGTTCAAAGAGACGGCTGCTATGGAGTCTCTGCAGACATTGTAATAAATAAATAAATAAATAAATAAATAAATAAATAAATAAATAAATAAGTGCGGTTAGTTGCCAATATTCATCAGGAAGACAAAAGCAAAGAAATATGTTTAACATCACTGACCTCCAAGGTATGCTTATTATTACAGACGAGTCTAAAGATTGCACTGTGAATTGAAGAGTCCCATAGCAACAAATCACGGATGATAATTCCCAACTTTTCTAGATATGAGCCTGCTGCAATGCATGTTTTCATCAATTCCAATACCTATATCAGTAGGAGTAAGACCCATCCGTCAGCAGTTAACAAAAGGAAAACAAACATTGGCTCCCTTGTATGGGTAGTCCACAAGAATTGTTCCCCCAAGAACTGGCCTCCCATTGATAGTTTGGAAAACAGCCAGAAGCATGATCACAAAGAAATGAAATAAGAGTCCAGAATACTAGCTCAATTTCAATTAAATAATGCTTAAACATCTATAATTGAATCTTACATCTTTTCACCCCCTTCACTAATAATGTGTCCTTGGAAACTGAATTTGCCATACAGGCCTACACCCAACCATATTTTGGAATATATATTCACAAGTTTCCTTTCAAAGTTATAAACAAGTCTGAGACACACTAGTACTTCATCCACAGAAATTCATACATTGAACTCCCACAAATAAGCTAAAAGAAATTTTGAACGGACATGACACATCTACATTCTAGTCCACCTGCTTAATAGCCTCAGCTTTTTGCGCTTCAGTTCAAAACAACCCAGCAAATGAAATAACCCCATGCTTGACAAACATACAAGACAATGCTACACTGCCAGCACAAGTTGCAGCAGTGAATAGACTCAAAAGCTAGTGTACCTTTAGTGTTACTCTCCATCGAGCATGCTTCACCTTGTACTTCCAAGAGTCATGATTAACTAGAACATATTGTAGACAGAAAGCAACTAATGCAAGGACGAAATCGCTTTCGATTCTCCTTTCCACCAGGTTAATCGTAAAGTCAAGAACTGCAAATACACGAAATACTCATGAGAATGGAGGCCAACCAGACAACAATTGTATGCTGCACTAACATACACATAGGTGTATTCAGGAAGGATGCTGGACATCCAATAAAATGGCAAATACCTAGGTAACATTTTCCAGCATACCTCAATACTAGTCAGGAAGGCAAAAATTATACAGCATAAATTGAATGCACAATCAAACATACATCAACAAGACTAAAGGCACAAAAACTAACAACCGCATAGGATGGCTTAAGCAGACTAATATAATAATATTAATTTACCAAAAAAATGCTTCAACAAGATAGGCAAAGCAGAACCAATTAAATAGAAACAGGACACTATGTTCATCCTGCCATCGACCAGACCAAACCCATAAACCCACAAAGAAAATTGCATCTCATAAAACATCCAAATAAAAATGCAGATGCACAGTGATTGATGACTCTATATAGAAGAAACAATCCAGAGGATGAAATTCACATCAGAAGAAATCTGAGGAGGAATAAAATACAGACTGAATAAAACAAATCAATTCAACCATCAACGAAGTAACAGCAAAACGAGTACAACTAAAAACGAAACAGATAAAGAAAAAAGTACACCGTACCTGATATAACCAATGGGATATCATAATTGTTCTGTTCAGAATCAATTAAGAGCATCTTTGCAAGTTTTCCAGAAGGCAGCCAAGATCCACTGCACCAAATTAAGCATCAGTACGGACATTGAGGACTAGGTACAAGCTACAAGGATACTGCACCTGAGAAGTATAAACCAATTAGCTGCAATGTCCAACCCCGTAAGAAAGAGGGGGGAGGCAAAATGATGTCCTATTCGCCCCTTATCTAGTGAGACTAAGGAACTTGGAAAGGCTTAACTCTATAGTAACTAAGTCATTCAGAGATCATTCCGACTAACCATCAACCAATCAGATGCTCAATACAAAACATTCAAAATGAAACCAAATAGCTATCTACGATAGCATTCACAGCTTGTAGGAACTGCTGGAGGGAAAATAACAGTTCCATATCCAGCAAGCAAAATGCTTAGACATTTTGCATTTGATACTTCCAAATGGTGTCCAGAGAATCACAACTGAGAAGCAAATACAAGTCTTCATCCACAAATGATACCTTGACGAGCCTTTATTCCCAAAGTCAAACATACTGGTCCTCGAAGCCATCTCAAAAATATTTGCTTTTACAGCCACAGCAACAACAGTTGGAGCACTATAAAAAAGAGAAGGAAATAAAATTGGTGTCATAATCATCCATTGCATCAACAAATCCAAATGTTTATCAGAAAACAACTGAGCAGTTCAGGCCTTTGGAGGAGTTTACAATAAACAATACAGGTACTTGGAGGTGTAAGAACTAGAACACATGGACAGAAGCAATAAGGGATCCATATGATGTCAAGAGGACAATAAGGAGCTGAGTATAGATAGGATAACAAAGGATTGGATACCACTTAATCATCTCTGCCAAAATACTGGCTCCCATTGACATTTGTACAGCACCAGCAGAGCTCGGAGATGAATTTCTTATTACTGCACAGATGATCTCAACCACCCTGCAATCGAGCAAAATCCAGACTGCTTACAAGAATAAGAATAGAAATGGATAGAACAGAGGAAGCAATTGAAACACGCATCATAAAAGAAACTAATAAGAGAAGCATTACTAAGAAATGCTTGATCATGATTACCATGAATTCTTTTCCATCTGATTGCTTGGTCCAGCTGGTATCCGATAAAATGTACTGCCAATGTCCATTAGAGAAAAAGTAACACCCTGCACATAAAGGTTACATTCAGTAGCAAATGCAGATACTTGAACCATCTTATACCTCTGTTATATTCAGATGCCTTTGAAACGGTTGAGCTAATAAGTGTAAAAAATTTAGAATGATCTACTTTATAGTGGTTTCAGTTGAAAATAGACACAATGAGAGAGAGAAAAAATTGTAGTCCCATTTACATATCTGATGCATCATGCATAGTATGCTTCATGTCTATTCTTGAATCCAAATCTCTAATTGAAAAACACATCTCTAAATGCAATTCCAAAGTTCAGCTGGGTTTTAATATTTTTTAATCAATCGGTGACAAATACTTCCATAGTGACTTACAGAGTTACATGAGACCAATCGTCTAAGAAGGTCAAGAATGAGAAATCCTTCTTTGTTGCCCTCACATTGCAGTGATTGTGCCAGACGCAGAAGCAAGATAAGCAGCCCTGATTGCTTATACTACAAGGAAGAAGTGTATGTACAAGGAAATGAGCACATGGTTTCCCCATATTAAAAGGCTCAATGTTCAATACCAAAGCATCAAAGTGCAGCAGAAAGATCTTCACAAAAATAAGGAAGATTACAAGTCTCACACAACATTTGACTGCAAAAAATATACCTTAGAATTCATTATGATAAACAGGGGAACTGTAAATACTATCTTTCTTTCAGTAAAGAACTATGTTGTTTACATTGTCATAGAACCAGATGAAACGATCTTTAGGATTAGAAGACGAATCAAATCACCCACTGCATAAGCAGGGCGCACCTAGTACCTTCAGAATTTGGTGTCATTTGTGTGATGAAATAATTATTTCAATGTGACACCTTAACCCTAGAAAGTAATTTGTTGTTCTTTCCACAACCTAATTTTGTGCTTGCACACTAGTGAAAGTCAACGGGGTCCAAAATCCACAATTCTCAACCTAATTAGAGTTCAAAGTCAAATAGGATGTTCTCCTAAATCTACATCACTATGCCAGCAATTTTCATTATCCTTTCATGAATCTTGTCTGATGACAAAAGTTGTGTGTGTGTGTGTGTGGGGGGGGGGGGGGGGGGGGGATCGCCATGTTTAACTCCACTAGCCATATCAAAAAATTTCGAAACCATTTCTGCTTTTACCTCCCATCGTACTAGGCCATTTTTAGCATCAAGAACTCTCAGAATCTGCCCACGAGTGTTTGGAGGCACAACCAAGCCTTCAATTCCAGGAATACACAATGGCTGTCGCGTCTCAACAATCTGTGAACCTTTGTCGACAATGGAGTCACTAGTAACTTCAAACAATGATGATATGCCAACAGATCTATCAAGGAAAGTATACCTGTTGATAAGAAGCTGAATGAGTAAATGAAATCAATAAAATCACAAATGATTAACATGACTGAAGTCTGAACAGGCAGGAGGGAGGCTGAAGCACATCAGAATTTTCTTCTTCCTGCTTATCTGTGCAAATTACTCTAACAACGATCAGGCCATTCGCCTCTAATACTAGTTCGAAAGACATTAACCCGTTTAATTACCTTTAATATTTGCACAATCATAAATGATAATAACAGAGAACTACCAAAAATGAATGCATACATCCTCAGGTGGAAACAAATTCCATATTCTCTCAAAACAACATATATTTCAATTTCTAGCACCTGCTCTCATGCAAATCACTCAGAAGTATTGCACGCAAAGATAACCGCTTACACGCATTCTGCAGGCCAACTTCCTTCTGAGAGGGAAGATAAAAGATGAACAAGTTCCAAAGTCCTGAATGGGAATTCACCCTCTAAGTTGCACAAAAGACACCTGATTGGGCCATCAATAAAACTTTCCTTGTCCCAGAACTGAACACAAAGCGACTCCTGCAATGTTCGGAAAAACATCATGCTACAGAAATGACAAAGAAACCGGAGCAGATCCCACATAAAGTTTGTAAATATACGAACCTCCCCACGATAAATTTTACAAAGAATATCCAGAATGAGACTCAGGCTACGATTTTCCAACTGCAGCAAAGAGAAATTGTTGAAATTAAGAAACATCTTCACTAACAATTTAAAAGACAATCCAAGAGGCCCAGATGAATACCTGGATATTAATTTCATATGAGGCAATAAACGCCGAAATAGTCGTTCGCAGAACACTACGGTAACCAGCCACAGGCCCCTAGACAGGTAGGAAGTCATAAAAAAGTAAACCAGATGCCATGTTGTCTAATTAGCACATGAATAAGCTGGATAGCAGCACATGCTTTGCGGAAAAAAAATACCACTAAGAATCTAAATGAAGAGTAGCTTACATCTGACTCGTGCAACATGTCACTTTCAAGAATTTCCAGAAAGTAGCTTAAAGCTGCACCTTCAAATGCTTGCCGTACATAACTAACATGATCAATATCCTAGAAAACAAAAATACTAATGAGAAGGTGGAAGCGAAAGAAGTTAAGGCTGGTAGCCACAAACTAACACAGGAAAAATACTATACCTACCGTTACCACATCAGCTTGCTCTTTCACTGGAAGGGAAGTAATTAGACAGAGAAACACTGCCCATGCAAAAAGCAACCCTGCTACTTCTTTCTCCTCCAGCACATCAAAACCAGATATTAATGAATCCATTTGTTGGATATCAGTGACAGTGAACCCAGATACTCCCTTACTGTGAAATGATAAATAGAAGCATGGATTAACACAGCATTCCACAAAATAAATGTTAAAGACACATATAGTTCAACCATACACCTTAATTCTTGTATACCATACAAATATTTCATGTATCCACTCCCAAAAGATAACAAAGCAAATACAAAGTGACAGCTAAAATACTGTACAGTGACAATTTCAAAAACATAGGCAAGTACATCTACCATAGAAAGCAAATTTCGAGAGGAAGTTCAAAATACAGAGCAAGGCTAAAACCTGAAAGGAGTTCCATCATGAACCAACTGAAGAAGATTTTCAAGATCCAGCGTCTCTATGAGGATAAGTAGTAGCTGGACTTTGGCTTGATAACAAGACTTCACTGCTTCAGTTGATAATGCCAACTTTCCAAAGTTAAAAGACCCAGATACAATCCCCTGTTGAACAGCATTTATGACCCACATGAACAGAAGTGTAGCTAACTAGAATATAGGAGAAGGTAGGGATGATAGTGACGCACCCTGTATAGTGAACAAATCTTTCTCCACATCTCACCATTACATATGCAAAGAGACTCATAGTAAATCAGAAAGAGGATGTCCAAGACCAAGTTATCTTCAATCAAAGTCTCTTCAGCCCATAAACTGACAAGGTCAACATCCTAAAAAAGCATTTGCACAATTGGAACACGTTGAGTACTGATGAAAGAAGGAAAATATCCTAACTTACAGTTTACTAATATGTGTGGATGAGGCAGCCAGAAAACTAAGAAACTAAAAAAAAAGCATACAACAAATGAAGGATTCTGGCCGAATTGGGCTTAAACCAAAGCCATTAACCAGATCACTTCACTATATCCTTTAGATGCAAAATAGAAAATTAACAGAACTAAATTAAATGACAGCTAAAAATAGCAAGTCTAGGCAGTAGGTACCACATGCCACATCATGTAGGTAATTCATCACATGCAAGGACTAGCTAACAGATCCAAATGGCATATCCATCAAGTACATGTATACACAAGATTTTAAGAATTTGTATCAAATTACCATCTGGATGGGATGAGTAACAGATAGAAGGTCCTGAAGAACAGAGATCAATTTAAGCTCTAACCCATCAGAAATTAACTTCAATCCCTCGTCTCTAATAAAATTCTCTCCTTTGGAGCTAATTCCAACCAATACTGCATCAAAAGGTTCATGGAAGGGATTATAACATTAAAACTGGAAGTCAGTTTATAGTGTTGCTTCAAATAGAAAACTTTGCTAGTTATGCAAAGAAAGTTTCAAGGATTCCAGGTCCAACTATTTGTGAAAACAACCTAAGTATCAGAGAGGGAGCCAAGTGATTACTTACATGCATGCATCAGAATTTGCCTCGTACACTTGAGCAAGCATTGTCGCTCAATGTAGAAATCAAGCAATGCCTTCGCCAAACAGAAGCAAATAAAAAAATTTAGGAACTATTTTTAATTATGCAGTGATAATGCATAAGTTTTATGAAATAATTCAATTCTATGTGCACCGAGAAAGTTAAAGCAAATTAACAACAAGGATAGAGCATAAAGCAAACATAACAGTGAAAAGTGCCACTTAAGTTAGAAAGTGCAAGATTCTGTCAAGTTTTGTATGCTATTTATACCACGTTCTCATTTTGAAAGCCTGACTTCTTATGTTGACGCCATAAAATTAAGATGAAAAAGGAAATTACTAGACACTAGAGAGCTAGGTCATTACATCTCCAAGTCTATAGCTGATTTGCTAATTCTTCCTCTGCTTCTCCTACTTCTTCAATTCACGTCTTCTTCCCTTCTTTCATCTTGTTTTTCTCCTCCTAATGTTTAACATTACTAATCTTATTGGAGTTCTTCATGTTCTGATGAAGTATTGGTTAAAATGTCAATCATCTTGTTCCAGTTAGCCTCACAATACCCCTAGCACTCACTGCACTTTGCTCCTCTGAAGACCATGATTACCAATAGTCAAACTAACCACAACTGACAATGTTCACACACAATGGTCAGAAACTATAGTGAGCATTCTATTTGATTAGCTGTTTCCTGGGTTTTTTGCATAGGTAAAGATTAATACGGCTCACCAGTCACAAACACCATCATTTTCCATTTTCCAGATACCCTTGAAATTCTGGACCAATGAAACCTAATCTAAGAAAATTGCAATTAGCATATACAATTAAGCAACCTCGATAGTCATATTAGTCTAAAATACACTAGGAACCTGTTGCACTGCAACAACCTAAATGTAAGACATTTTTAACTGTTGAAGAACAAGAGGAGAAACAGTAAAGCTACGAACCAGGTGCATGTATTCTTCTGCAATTGAGTCAATGGATAAACCATTGCGTTCGAGAGACCTCTCCACAAGAATATACGACTGCACTTCATCTAACGACTGCACAACCAACAGAAAATTGAAGTCAATATACATTCCTACGTAGTAGTCATCTTAATCTCCGTAAACGGAAAGACGAGTTCTCTTCATAAATGTGGGACTTTTTCTTCAAGCGAATATCGACAGAGCTATTCTGGGAGAACAAACTCACCGCACAGGAGCTAATCCGGAGAGCTTTATCTTTCAGTTGAGGTTTTATACTCAATTCATGAGCCCCAATTTTCAGTTTATCCGCGTTCAGAGCTTCTTTGGAACTGGCATTTGGCGGCTTAAACCGAGACACGGTTTCCACGAACCAGCCATGATTCTGCTTAAGCTTCGCCGCCTACAAACACGAAAGCAAGCTCTGCCACTGTAAGTAATAGTCAAACGCAGATTACCGGTTCGAGAGAGAGGGAAAATTGGCCTACTAGCTGTGGAGGTAGGTCGGAGGAGAGCGAGGCGTTTTCTAGTTCACCAAGAAGCGATGAGAAAGAATCCCACCAAAGTGAAGAGTCAACGGACTTCTGATTCGACATTCTATGGGAAGCCAGAAACTGACTGAGACTTCAAACCCTAGAAGCACCACATCGGCCGGCGGCGGACGGAGGAGGGAGGGACCGGGGGAGAGAAGAGTAGCAAGTGCAAGTTTTAATTTTTTTTCTTTTCGCGCTTTTTGGGGTTTAATTAGGGGTTTCGGCCTTCGGGAGCGGACGCAGCACGCAGTTGCTGTTGCCTATTGCCTGTGTTACTGTGTAGAGCTGGAGCGTAGCTTTTTCAGAATAGGTTGGGCCGGTAACCGTGATTTATATATTCGGTTGGGTTACTTACATGATATAATCATTTTTTTTAACGGGATGATATAATCATTTTTTTGACACAACATGATATAATCATTAAGATAACTAGATAAGTTATTTGCAAAGACAAGATTCTTGTACATTGAGACTTGGATTACTATTTATTTAGATTCAAAATTCCTATTCACCTTAAATTATTATTTGCCTTCCTCCTATTGGTCCCTGGTCTGCGATTGGACCCCGGTGTGTTTTGTCTTGCTTTGGAAGCCTGATAATGATTGGACTGCCGCCGATTTTCCCAAGCCCGAGATAGCTTTATTTGGTGCGGGTGTTTGTTGTGGATAGCGCGCCAGCCTCAAATCAACAATCATTTCCCCTTCTCTCTCTGCCTTCTTGTCCATCTCTCTCTTTCTCTGCCCTTCTACTGCAAACCTCAAATCACAACTGCTCACTCAAACCAAAAATTGAATTGGTTGAAGTTCTTGAATTCCATTCCTCCTTCTTGTTTTGGTGTCGTAAGAACGCTTCCCTTCCTCTAGTGGATTGTGCCTTTGTCCATATTTCCGTCCTAGAAAAAGGCTCTCAATCTAGAATCCATAATTTTGTTGTCCCCTTAGGGATGAGGAAGAATGGCATCAAATAGGTAGGGTAGCTCTGGTACACAACCTTCAGAAGAGTCTATTTGCTCGCTTGAGAAAGAGCCAAACTTTTCCAAGATTGGCTCAGCTTTTCCATTCTAACAATAAGACATGAAAAGTGATTCGGGTCTAATTATACACATTTTACCTCTCATTTCTTGATAGTTTGGCTTTGCATTTCATCGTCCCTCGACATATTTCACGCTAGGTTGTGCTTGTTTTGATACATTTTGGGTCCTAGCACGTGTGGAAGGGTCGAGGACGACCGTGACAATTGCCCCGTAACAGTGAAGCGCATGCATCCAGGAAGCAGCCGCAGTTCACGGCCTGACATTGGAGTTCACGGTCTCTAAGGTCGTGAACTGGAACCACAGACCGTGAATATCGAGGCATCCAACTAGGTTCCAACAGTTACTAACGCCACCGTGAACTTGGAGCACAAACCGTGAACCCAGGAGAGTGAAGCGGTGCGTTTTGGAGACGACACTGAGTTCACGGACGCGTTTAGGTGTTCACAGCCGTGAACTGGCCAACGCGGCCGTGAACTGGTCACTTTCAGGCAAATATCAAGACAACATCGGGGAGAGAGAAGAGGGGGGCTGGTTTTGGAGAAGGAACACTTTCTTTCTCTAGGGTTTCTACCCAAAACACCAAAGGGGAGTTCTAGTGAGAGAGAGAGAGAGTGATCTTGGAGCTTAATTAAAGGCATTGATCAAGCTTGGAAGCTAGGAATCAAGCCTAGAAGAAGATGATGAAGATCTAGAGGTTTCTTTTTAATCTCTCATCTCTCTCTAGAAACTCACCATCTTCTCTTGAGTTTAAGAACCTTAGGTCTAGATTTGGGTTTAATGTTGATGTATGTGACAAACTCCATGATCGATTGATGATTTTACTTAATTGATGGATGTTTTCATGAATGGCATGAGTTGGGTTTCCATTTTCATGTATTGAGCTTTTGACCTAGGAGGGAGATAATCCCCTTAGAGCTCCCTTTTGGCGTCTTCGGGTCACTCCTATCGTATATTGTCTGGGTAGTCCCCGAGGGAGTTGATTCGACCGATCTCCTAGCATTATACGAAACCTTAGGTTGAATAAAGCAGTACCCATCCATCGATTCACCATTCCGAATCATTCCCGAGAGAGTCCATATCCAAACGGTAGTGTATTTGAGTCGATCAAGCTAGGAGGATACCCAACATCGATCCAAAGAACGGACCTAGGACGATTCAACCCAAGAGAGCTCCCAACCTTGTAAATAGCTAGGTTGGTGGTTAGTCTAGGTTAGTTAGTTTAATTTTATCAATCACTATCCTAGGTTGGCTAGATAACGAACCCTAAACCTGAAGTAGGGTAAGCCTAGATCCCTATGGTACGATAAATTTTTATTGCCTGCTTGCCCTATGCTACATCCAGTCGACGGTTATACTTGGTCGTCGATTGGGATGTTGTAGTTAGAACGAGTCAAAAAGACTTCTCTTTTGGACCTCCCCCATTTAGTTGGGACACCCAGATATTTGCCCATTTCCGCGAAACATGGAATGCTCATGAAATCCGCCAACAGACTCTTGAGGTTCTAAGGAACATTTGAGTTAAAGGTGATAGCTGATTTATCATTATTAATCAATCGTCCCATCATGCTCCCACAGTCCTCGATCATTTTTTTAAAGTGATTGCTTCTGACATTAAGGCTTTACCAAACAGGATCGTGTCATCTGCAAGCAGAGCATGCGTGAGTCTAGGACAAAAGGGATTCAGAGTCACTCCATGGATACTATCATTAGCCACATTCTTATTGATAAGGAATGATAAAGCATTAGTCAGTAAGATAAAGAGAAGAGGAGAAAGAGAATCTCCCTGACGGATGCCTCTTGATGGCTCAAAGAATGGCGTAGGTTGGCTATTGCACAATACCGAGAACCTCACAGATCGAATACAAATTTTCACCCATGAGCATCATTTATGTGAGAACCCCATAGCTTTTAGGATTTCATCAAAATAATCCCAGTCAACCATGTCAAATGCCTTTTTCATGTGGAGTTTTAACATCATATCCCAGTTTCCCCCTTTTGTTTTTATTTTGAAGTGGTGCATCACCTCATTCACAATAATAATGTTGTCTTGGATAGCTCTACCTCCCACGAAAGCTGATTGCATTTCAGATACAAGCTTCGGGATCCACTCCTTCAGTCTTGTTGTCATGATTTTGGAGATCACTTTGTATATGAAATTGGAGCAACTAATCGGTCTGAATTGTGAGATTCTTTCAGGGTTAAGGATTTTGGGAGTAAGCACCAGATGAGTATCATTCCATCCCGGCTCCATCTTCCCTTCAGAGAAGAAAATTTTAATTTCATCACAAAGCTGCAGACCCACAATACCCCAATATCTTCTGTAGAACATCCTAGGGAAGCCATCTGCTTAGGTGACTTAGAAGATCCCAAGTCAAAAACTGCTTCCTAGATTTCAATGTCATCAACAGGCTTGCAAAGTGCAAGGTTGATGTGATCTTCCACCAGACAGGGAATCTCACGAATTAAATCAAAGTTGAAGCTCTCCTCCCGTTTTTTTGAACGGTCAATGTAGAACTTCATCATATAATCTTGGAGGGGGCCTTTCTCTTTGATCTAGTTGTTCCCTTCATCTAAGAGTTTGACAAACGTGTTTCTGAGGCTTCTTTGAATAGTGGAGGTATGTAAGAATCTTGAGTTTTTGTGCCCCTTATCGAGCCAATGAACTCTCGAGCGTTGCCTCCAAAAGATTTCTTCTTCTGCCCAAAGTTTGTTTAATTCAATCTTCAGCGCCCTCTCTTCTTCCTCATAGGATGGAATCCGAGTCCACTCAAAGATCACTTTCAAGCAATCCTCAATATTTTTTATTCGCATTGCATATGTAAACATTTGATGTAGGATCGTGGTTCACTAACACCTTTGACTCCAAACTCGTTGAACAGAGCTTCATATGCCTAATTAGTCCCCTTCTTGCAGAATAAAGGCCTTCAAGCCGTAAAAAAAATCTATCGAATTCCCCCTCTCAGAGATAATCGACCTTAACATATTTTCGTACACACTCTCTCTTTACGTTCCCTCTTAACACTTGCCTAAATCATGTCTCATATGCATCTCGAATTGATAGACACAATTCATATAAGGGATCCTCCATGTCTCAATACGTATCTGTCTATACCCAAAAAAATAACCAAACATAACTAAATCACGTCACGCTTACCTGCACATATCATCTATTCTTCTAAATAAAAAAAATATGCATCACATATTGAGGGGAGGACCCACTTTTTCTTAACCCTTGTCAATTGACAAACCTTACTTATTAAGTTGGACCAAATATTAAGCTGAAAAAATTTAGATTATTTTTGGTAGTATATGCACACTATCTAATTTGACAACCCTTACAATTATTTCATATAAGATTTTCATTGAAATAATACAAAGCAAACATATGTAAGCACTCAAAAGTAATTCATAGCCTATTAATCTTAACAACTCATGGGGTATATTTATCATGCTCTATGAGTCATTCAAAGATTTGTGAAGAACCGTTGAGCTAGTTAGACAAATGGCGGAGACACAAAAGTATAATTATTATCCTTTGGTATACCCAAGGTTCTAAAAGGCGCTAGGCGTAAGGCAGGCGCTCGGCTCCTGACTTGCGCCTTGCCTGATTAGGCGTAGCCTAGGCGCGCCTAGGCGTTCAGAGCATAAATGGAAAAAGTTCTCAAATATTTCATGTTTTCTGGAATAATTCATATAATCCAAGTGCATATAAAATTAGCAATGCCTAGTTCTTAACAGTAAACACTTAACATAACAAATAACAAGCAAATATTGACCACTTCCTAGAATCACAAGTTCATAAAATGTCGAAATACTAAACAATAGTCAATAAGTTCATAGGAAAATGTTCATTCTTCATCATCCAAGTAGGTCCGTCCAGCCACCACTTCATCTTCATCATCCTCAAAAGCAATCTCCTCACCATCCTCCTCCTCTTCCTCCTCTTCAGACTCTAATTCTTCATCATGGAGCTCTCTCACTCGTGCACTCCTGCGAAGCTCACTCTGTTCACCCGCCATTGCATTTGTAA